AGCAGTACATCCCTCTAATGGACCGCCATGATTAAATTTAACAGCAAAGGATCTATTTTACTTACTAGTGACAATAGTCTCCAGCTCAGAGGTCTCATTAGCCTGTGCCTAAAAGCCTTGAAGATGGTACCATCTCAGTATCCTGAGGCCTCCAACATAGAGCACTGCTCCCCATGAACAAGTTCAGAGTGGTACTGGTTAATAATTAATCACTAATTCCTATAGATTTTCAAAGAATACTCCTGTGTTTTAGAACCTAATCTCTGTCTGCCACTTCTGTATCATTGATTACCATGGAAAATAATTTTTGCCATATGCAGAAAGAACAGGAGTTTTTGGGCAGCTGAATTTGTGACTGTAAACATTGTACATTTGTAGCAAATGTGCTGGGACATGTGATATTCTTTCATAGCCTATGAGAGTCATGTTAGTAAGGCATTATGTTTTCAGTTAAAAATTCTGGATGCTCGGCCTCAGATTTGTGTGTTCAGATGAGATTTGTGTGTTTACACAGCTCTACAACAGTCAGATCTGTGTCATATTAAGGCCAAAAAATTGTGCCTCTTCAGCCTGGTAATGTGAATGTAGACTTGGTTCAGAGTTTCAAGACTTGACTCGGACTGGCACCTTAAGGAATCAAGACTTGGTTTGAGCATAAACCTAAGGGACTCAAGACGAAACTCGGAGTTACACCAAATAGCTTGGAGACCTAGTGACCTGGCTCGGATTCTGACCTCTGAGACTCGAAAATTCACTTAGACTGGCTTCTCAGATCCTGACTTGGACTCGCACCTCAGAGACTTGAGGCTTGACTTGAACTAAGTACAGAGACTCGAGATTTGACTCAGACTTACACTTCAGAGAATTGAGACTTAACTTGGACTGGCACCTCTGAGAGTCGAGACTTGACTCAGACTTACACTTCAGAGAATTGAGACTTAACTTGGACTGGCACCTCTGAGAGTCGAGACTTGATTCAGACTCACACTTCAAAGTCTGTACACAGACTGGCATTTGTAGTCTTAAGATCTGACTCAGACTTGCACGTCAGAGACTTGAGATTGACTCAGACACGCACCTCAGAGATTTCACTTAGACCTCACTTCTTTTAACAAGTGCACACTCAGATAAAAGTTATTAAAGCATCTCTGGGGTGGTACCCCTGTTGTCACTGGGGTGATACCCTCAAGGGGTATTTTATTTAAGCGTTCTGTTTTAAAACATCAGGTTATGAAAAGGTACAAATATGTACCATTTCCCTGGAAAAAATCTTATTTAAGATGCACAGTTGGACATTAAAACCATTGTTGTACATTTGAGGGCACATTGTTTGTACCTTGATAAAAGAAACATGTACCTACACAGAACCTTTTTTTCTGATGGTGTACATAGAAAAGCATTAAAATTTTCTACTGTGGCAATCAGTCAAACACTACGAATGCGACAAATAGAGAAACCTGGAGTATTTCTTTGATATATTTCCACATTGAACTATTACATTTAAGTTTGCAAATGGACCAAGGGGAGGCATTAGTTCTTGGTCCTGGATCTGGTTTATCTCACATGCTCTTCCGTTTTCACATTTATCAGAACAGCTTTCTTTCCATAGACACACAGACACACACACACACACACACACACACACACACACTGCACGAACTGGTCGCATGCACAATCACATGCTATAGCCCAAACTGGTCTCATGCACTCAATGACCCTGCTGCAGATAAATGGCTATTGAGGACGTTTGCAGAGCTTCTGAACAGTCCCTCCATTATGAACTGTGGAGCCTTCAGCAAGGATTAGGAGCAGGTTGGATGAAGGGGGATTGGGGCCACACTGCCATCTCAACCATTAACCTCTCTCTGCTGTCTCTGAGCCTCAGGCTAGCAGCACAGAGCCACGGAAAGGACAGTGAAAGTCAAAGATGAAGCTGCAGAATCTTATATAGGAACTGGAGTGCATGATCTGTTGACATTAAACAGAGCACTTGCTCTTAGTGGTTATCTTCCTGGGAATTTTAGGATGTCCACTTTAAGATATACTTCTCCTCATGTGGTGAACCATGACTAACAGGCTTCAATTTGGGCCATAAATGTCCAAAATCAGTCAAAATATGAAGAAAAAACCTGCTTCTGTAATAATTTTCACATCTGCCAGCGACCCTAGGAGATTATACAGGAAGATTCACTTGAAAGAGGCCCTGAATATTCTGTTGTAACTCCCGTTAGGATGAAGCAATCTGAACCAAAAAAAATACACTACATACCTTGACATATGTCTAATCGATTGCATTACATACGATGCTGAAAGTAATCTCTGTTTTCTGCCAGACACATGAAGGTGTATGGGGATATGCACCCGGAAGTTGCAAACGGAGGTTAAACGTCGCGGCGGCTGTCCAACGTCTACCTCATCGGTCCGACGCAGGGGCATCCGGGCTTGTTTGAAGCTCTATGTACTGAGGAGTACATTGCACGTTGTTTCGTTTGGATTGCTTCGTCTTAGTGAGAGCAATTGCAGAATATTCGGGGCCTCTTTCGAGTGAATTTGCTGATTCACATGAACATTTTTGGCAGATTAAGCAGACATTTGAAGCTTCTAAAAAAGCATATGATGACATTCCATGTTTTACTTAAAGCTTGTGACAGACGTATTAGCGGACATTTTATCTTGCAGCAGTCACAGCAGTCACAATCAAGTGACTCTCAGTAGAGATGCCTGGTATAGCACTACTGCTGTTTTCCTTTTCTAACAACCCAAATGGAAACTGCCGTTCGTATTCACAGTCAGTGATCTAGGACTTCCAGAAGGCTTAGAATGATGTTTTTTTTCATGAAAATGGTCCCGCCTATTGGAAATCAATTCCTCTGTCACTTCGTAATTGTGCTAGTGGTTAGTTTAATGTTTTGCGGCCTTCTCATCAGCTCTTGAAATCCTAACCAGTAGAAGAGTTTGCTTAGCTATATCTGCCTAGGTACCATAATTGGCCAATTTTCTGCTGGGTGGCTCAATAATTTAATGCTTTTGATTTTAAAACTTAACAATGAAAGTAGTAGTACTGTAATACCTGCAGAGTACAGGCGCAATTATTTAGATCCCAGTAATTACTAGGCCCTGCAGGTTCCACTCTGCTTCTGTGCAAGAGTGTTGTTTTGATTACAGAGATGGGGGCATTGGATACTGTGTAGGGCTTCTTTTAGTCTCACATTATTGTTGACAATAACAGCTAGTGTTGATTTAACACCACCTAACGCTACCTAACCCCTTTGTTTCACTACTTATCTGGTAATGTATAGCTATAAAACCGCAACATTATTGAAGGCGGTGATGGCGGAATCTCATCAGATCTCCTTTCTTCTTTTGTTTCTTGATAGTTCTGAATATTTCTAGCAAATTTCATTGGGACCTGAAATGTTTTCTCAAATTTCTTAATGTTAGCTTAACCATGGAAATGGGTATAACCTACTGATCCATATATCTGTTGTGTAGTTCTACTTCTAATGAGTGGAGAAACATAGTAAGTGCAGATGCTTTCAGACAGATGTACCACTTGATGAAGCAATTAACACGCTACCATGCTCTGTGACATGTATAAAAATGTTCAGCAGGTTCAGTTCACCTCAATTTTGGATTGAGATGGCAAAAGGAAAAGATCTAAGTGACTGAATGAGGGTTCATTATTGCGACAGGAGCTTCAGTTGTAAAGACTGCTCTACTGGCAAGTGTTTCAATAAGAACAGTGACTAAAGAAACATCTGCATTTAGATCTCGGAGAAAAATAACCATAAAACGTACATTCAGTGCCTGTGATTTTTGTAAATTTGTGTGATATGCAAGGAAAACAGAAGAGCAGCTGTTCATCAGGTGACTGAGAATGTCAGTGCAGACCAGGAGCCATCTATCCACAACTACATAGAGAGAGATAGTATAGTAGGGCTGAAGTGTTTGAACCCATCAATATGAAGATGAATGCACATTTGAGTGTTTAGTGGTGTAAAATTCACAGGCACTGGCCTATAGAGATATGGGTAAAAGTCATATAGGTCAGATGAGTCATCCTTCACCATATTTTCAACAAGCGGGCGAGTGCATGTGTGGTGTAAACGAAGAAAACAGCTCAGGCCTGAATGTCTGATCCCTACAGTCAGTGGGTCTGGTGGCTCTGTTAGGTTTAGGGGGATCATTTTTGCTGGCATGGTTTGAGCCCACTTGTTCCCTCTGGGAGCGAAGGGTCACTGCAAATTAATGGAGAGTTATTCTTTCTAATCACCTTTATCCTATAATTAAACATCTCTATTCTAATGGGAGGGTCTCTTCCAAGTTGACAGTGCCCCCTGAATTAATGTTTGCATAAAAATGTAAAAATATAAAATAAATATATACAAATAAATATATATGAATTACAGCTATAACATTCGGATTTTGACAGTTGGACAGTTGTCTGGTTCCTATCACCACCACTGTGAACGATTCTGACTCTTTCAGTTTCTCAAGAGTGAAGCATTGCACCATGTATTAATGCAAAAATTTTGAAAAAGTGTTGAAATTCCCCTTTAACATTTCTGAAACAACATCTAGCTAACTATGAAAGTGAGGAGGACTTCTTTTTGAAAAGTGAATGGGAAAAAATGCATTTTGAAAAGCAAAACTGAAGAAGCAAAGTTCAGACATTGAACATGTCTTTGTTGATTGGTTACATTTGCGGTAAGGTTAAAATTTGAAAGATTTTTGGCCACACTTTAATCCCTCCAATGGCCAGGACCCAGAGTTTTGTTACAGACTTCTACAACCTAAGAGTAGATCAGCCAGTTTGCACTGTAGGGACTGAATAAGAAGCCTTAGTATGTAATAAGCCTGGGATGTTAAGGGGTTAAACTTTATTTTAATAATTATAACAGTTATAATTTATATACTAATAAGGGCTAATATCACCTTTGCTCCAACCCTCACCTCTGTCTGGTTCTACTCGTATTGACCTTCCTCTCTCCCTCCCTCAGGTTCTGCTGCGTTGCCCAGCAACATGAAGTACTTCGGCAGTGCTCAGGATGAAGAAGACGCAGAAGAGGAAGAAGAAGACGAAGATGAAGAGCAAAAGGAGCCGGCGGCCTGCAGTGCCTCCACTTCCTGTCAGGCCAGTCCACGCAAGAGCAAAGCCTCAAGCAGAGTCGTCGCCAATGGACATGGTAATTAATTTCAACCCCTTATGCCACAATCTTACGCAAACAGCGCAACACTCACTGCCATTTGAGTGCGTCTTTGTTAATCCTTGGAAGTCTAGAGTTATTACTTATTTTAATTTTTCCTACTTCCCACGTCGTGTGATTAACCCTATCAAACCAAGTGTCTTGCCAACAATCCATTCTGAGAACTTTGACGTTGGCTCCTTGAACACGTTTTAATCTACCACCAGAATTGCGACATGTGCGTGTCCACATATTAAACATATTAGCATATAGAATCTGTGCTTTCTGTTTGCTACTGTGTTTTCTATCACTTTATAAAAGATGCGTATGGCTTCTTTTATTATTGGATACACTTCGATTTCTTTTTTCCGAGCAACTGCATGAGCTAATTCAGAGCACAGTTCAGATTGGTGAGTGGTTATTATTATTAATTTGTTTAATCAGAGTAAAGATAAAATGCGATGTTGAAACTGGACCTTGGAGCAATGGAAGAAGGTTACCTGGTCAGATGAGTCCCATTTTCTTTAATATCACTTGGACAGATGGGTACTTGTGTGCTGTTTACTTGGAGAAGTAATGACACCAGGATGCGCTGTGGAAAGAAGATAATCTGGTAGAGGGAGTGTGATGCTCTGGGTAGTGTTCTGTTGGGAAACTGTGCGTCTGGGCATTCATGTGAATGTCAGTTTGACCCATGCCACCATCAGTGCGCCCTGCCACACTGCACACACACTGTTTGGGAATGGTTTGAGAAACATTATGAAGTGTTCAAGGTGTGGCCTTGGCCTACAAATTCCCTGATTTCAAACTGATCCAGCATCTTGAGATGTGGTAGAACGACAAGTCTGATCCATGTCGGCTCCACCTTGAAACATACAGGACTTAAAAAATCTGCTGCTAACGTCTTGGTACCAGAAACCACAGGGCACCTTGTAGAGTCGAGGCCTCATCAGGTCTGGGCTATTTTGGCAGCATGCAGAGGACCAAAAGCATTTTAGGCAGGTGGTCATTATATTTTAGCTCATTGTTGTATATCTAAGATTTTTGGACTTGCTGCAACAGCACTGAGGAAACGCTATTAAAGAAGAAGAGACAAAATAAGGAAAAAGTTCTTAAAAAAGAATTTTTAAGATTTCAAAATGTCCTGTTCATTCTCTAGTCCATACATTCAGTAAGCTGCAAAAACAGCCTGTTTTGAATACACAGATATTAGGGATGTCACGAAAAACCAACACATTTACATGTATTTACCCATTCAGCCTACAGGAATTTAGTCCCACCCACTCAAGCTGAAGTTATAAGTAATGTTTCAGTCTAGACTGCTTTTTGAATGCAATTAAAGGCAAAGTTTTTGGTGCCACACAAACAGCGGACTCATGGAAAACAATAAAAGATAAGGAAAATGTAGGGTACACAACATAGTGATTTATATATGAATTATAATCATATTCAATTGACATTTTATAAACAGAGTCGGCTTTTCCAATTTTTTCCATTTGTTTAGACTCCAAACGTTGGCAAACGTAGCAAGAATGCAAAAGCTGGGCTTCTTTTCTACAAACTGAGACTGTAGTTTGGAAATACAGAAGTGATTTGGTTTGAAAATTTAGAATTGGTGCTCTAGACAAAAATTCTCTGCTTATTTCAGTGTAAAATGTTGAATATCAAAATGATCTTTTTGTATCTGATAACAGGAAGTTTTAATTATTAGACCTCTCCCAATTTTTCAGCTATTTTTCGTATAATAAAAGCGAGTGTCTCAGGGTTCAGTATGTTATTGCAGGCGAGTGGTAAACAGGGCACACATTTGGTTTCCATTCCAGGGCTTCAGTCAGGTGAGTTATGGCTGTGCCTCACCCCACACTGTGCAGTTAATGATCCGTGTCTATACACAGCACTCTGTCAGATTGCCTACATTTGCCGTATACCGTCCATACAGTGCAAGGTATTCACATTCACTGAGGCATGCTGCACATGTGCACGCTATAAGGCCAAGACCTAGTACGTTATCATGTAATATAATCATTTAACCCTTTCATAGTTACATTTATCGTCAGTGATAACAAAGATAAAAAAAATGTGTAACTCATTTAAACATGCAGAGAAATTCTGATGAAAGTGTGGAACACTACTATTTGTTCATCAGTAGTAACAGCAACTTTGGTCAGCAGTAATGGAAGTTAATATGCTGATTTTCTTCATCATTTGAACAAGTCATGAATAGAGCACATTTGCTAAATGTTAAATAATGCTGCTAACTAGGACAGAGAAGCTAGTTAGCATTAGCTTAGCTAGAATGATAACAGCTGTTCTCACCACAGAACATGTTTAGTTCTGACTATCTAAAGCACCATCACTTGTTTAGATAACAGTGACAATTCTGAGGGTGTAAATTGGTGCAGCTGGCATTGAAAAGACAGAAAGGCAAAATTAAACCTGCTCCTGTGGTGTTGAGATTTGTGGCCTGATCAGCTAACTTAACATTAGCTTTGCAAGCAAACAGTGCTAGATGATAGTGTAGATGGTAAAAACTAGTGTCTGAGAGGACAAAAGTAGAGTGACTGGGGTTGGAGTAACAGAAAGCTGAAACTGAACGTGTTCTGCAGTGTTTGGGACTGCGCCATTTTGGCTAAATCACATGTATATACTTCTTGTGGAGACGATGTTTGCTTAGCTTCAGCTAACAATACGATGTAATTGCTGAGAACACAACCAACCGCAGATATCGTACGGAGGCTTTACTCGCCGTGACACAAACACGGCAGCTGGCGACCTCCGTGGACACCTTTATGATTCATCGCTGAGACTTTATAAGGACACTCAGTTTGTTTTAAACTCATGGAAAGAAAGCAGAGAAACCCTCGATAGAGATTCACATGTTTGCTGTCAACAGTGGATAAACCTCTGTAACAAATTTGTAACTCGCTTGTCACCATAGCCAGAACTGTGATGGAATTGTTTTCCAGTACTAATGGAACTTCTCATAAAATGTCATAGCGTCACCTGCAGTAGTGGAGCGTACGCGACAGGGCAAAACAAAACCGCCGAAAGTATGCAAGCTTGTAAGCCAAAAGCGTCTTTGCAGCCACCCTTGCAAACTTTGTTTCTCACAAAGTATGCTGAACGCTTTAGCCATTGCAGAACTGCTCTCATGCTTAGTTTTTTCTGATGATGTATCTTGAAAGTGAGAGAAATTCAATGCAGTGTAACAGAATATTACATAATACAACAAATTAAATTAAATGGTAGTTTTAAGCCGCAGTGCCTCTTTAATATATTAGTATGAATATTAAAGCAAAGGTATAGTGATAACTTTATACTTCTGAGAGTTAAAGTATCAGTAATGGTAAGATTTGGAAGAGCTCTCCAGTGTACTGTATATTTAGTACAAGTGCGATGTATCTTGTGATGTACTTACTTAAGTGTTATCTGGAACGCTCAGTCATTTGCAACTATTTGCACATTAATGGAGGCAGTGTGATCTTCCTTGACACTTTTTTTGCAGTGAGCAGAAGAATATTTATCATGCGTTTGGGGAGGAAAAAGTGAGAAGAGCAATGTACAAACACTATTTTTTGAGCATTATTTCAGTTATCACCAGCGATAACAAAAGCATGTTGTAATTTTTTTATGAAAAAGTCTCACACATAGCTCATTGAAATGAGCAGAGATAGTTAGTTGAAAGTGCAGATTCAAAGCTTTTAATCAATACCACACACAGTCAACTCCAGAATTATTGGCACCCCACAAAATACCATACACATAATGATTCAAATGTCCCTCAAAACAGTTTGGAGAATTTGCTCACCATTTATCTAGTAGAAATCATTCCTACAAGAATGCTGTTTTACTTTAATAGTAGGAATGAATCAATACCATTTTTAGACCAAGTATGAGTACATATTTTTGAGTCCTTGCTAATACTGAGTCTGATACCATATTAAGTATTCTACTTAGAAATGAGTAGTTGTTAGTGTAAATGAGTACAATTTATCATAGCAGTGCAATGGACCGATACCCAAAACCAGTATTGTATGAATACATCCAAAAAGAATAGTGTATTCTTTCAAAAACGTGTCAAACTTATTGGTACCCCTAAAGAATATTTTAAATAAAATAAAAATACCAACCAAAATAAATTCATATCTTTATGGTAAAACATCTCTCTTTTTATCCCAAATCTGTCTGCCTCTGCCAGAGGGCTGAAACGTGGCCATGAGTGGACTGCTCAGTAAGATAATGACCCCAAACACGCATCAAAATCCACTCAGAAATGGTTGTGGCTTTTGCAGTGCCCCTCTCCAAATTTAAACCTAGTTGAAACTGTGGTGTGTATTGATGGTGTGTAATATTTTTGACATCTGTATTTTCAAAAAACATTGTGTCACTGAAGAAAACATCTCCAAAATAGTAACTTTACAGACAAAGGCAAAAACGTACATAACTTTTTAATGTAAGATAATGTAAAGAGAATTTATGCAAAGTAATTTTGGAGCATTTCTGTTAGTCCATTCCTCATGACATTTCCACAGAATATAAAAGACTGTATCCAACTGATCTAGACAAATAAAAATCTACATTTTTTGCCTTTGTTTTAGGACAGCGATGATATGCATCTCACCCATTTGTTTAAGTTGAAATATTTCTCATAGCATGTGAGGTTTATTTAGTAAGTTTGATTTTTAGCACACTTTAATGAAGGGTGCCAATATTTGTAGGGTTGACTCTAGAAGAGTGTAGAGTCTTGTTTTGTGGAAAGAAAAATCATGCTTTTTGCATTTTTGCCAGGTTTCTGTCATTATCTGTCAGAAAAAATAGAACTTCAGACTCAAAGCTGTCAATACAGAATATAAATTGATTGTAAATGTCTTACATAACTGTAATTAATTATGTAAGTAAGTAATTACATTTAAGTAATTATGTAGTGTAAATCAAATGTATAGAAAAACGGCTTTAAGTACTGTAAGTACTGTAGTACCATTTCACTGCGCCTTTTCTCTCCGTTTCTCCCCCTATGTAATCAGACTCCATTGCCCATTCAGCACAATCACCAGTGTAACGTGACACCCTGGTCACCTGATCCTCCTCCACATACTATACATGTCAGAGGGGCTCCACACATACCACAGCCCGTCCACACAGACCCTCTGTCTCGCCTGGGTTCAAAAGTTGAACCTGAACTTGATGGCAGAGTGATTAAAGGGATTTATGTAATTTTGAACGTACCCTAAATGTAGTTAATCAGCCAAGACATTTTTGTTATCTGAGGTTTGCACTAAAGAGATACAAAGCTAATGTAGCTAATACTCTACCCATTAGCATCAAGCTGCGTGCCTGAATCATCACACTTCCCTCAAACTGCTCTGAATTGTTAAAGAGAAATTGAATCGATTTTTCAGTTTCTGCATAATTTAGTCATTGAGATGTAAACAAGAGTCAGTCAGAGTGGTCTGATGTGAAATGCTGCATGGTAAAGAAGCTTACTGACTGATTTCTTTATAGTGGTGGTGATAGGAACCAGGGGTCACAACACAAATATAGACATTTTATTTACGGTCCAAAACTATCAGTGAACCTGCACGTCTTCTGAATGTTTATATATAATGTTGGTGATAGTAAAATAGTGGAAAAATCTGAAGAAGTAGTGTTTTTTCGGGACTATTTTGCCTTACAATACCCTGCATGTACCTCTCACAATAAATGGTTTAAGAGCAACTATTTCACATGTCCTATGGCCGTTTAGATCTGTTTAAAGACAGCTTTGACCTACATTTTAATAGAATCCGGACCCCCTTCCTCATCCTTCGCTGTAAGGAGAAATGCTCTCATCTTCTTAGCCTTTCCTGTGGCTAGTCTGTGTGGAAACAGTCATTGAAAGGCACATCTGTGTAAAGTCTTATGAAATCAGGAGTCATGTTGTGCCACCGTGCTTCATAAAAGAAATGAGAACCCTTTTCCATCTCGGTTTTGCATGAGCCACTGATCCAAATAAGACATTTTTATGTGCCTCGTTGGCCGAGTTCCAGCCAGTGTGGGTGATAGGTTGGCCCCAGGAGGAGCCACCGCGTAGCTTTCATTTAGAAAATTGACCCAAAAAAGCACGCTGGTGTTAATTTTAATGTTTTTATGAAGAACACTGCACAGTCTTAGTGATAGATTGGTTTTTAGTGGGTTAACAGAGGCTAGAACGTGCTAGAATCTGTAGCTTTTTATTTTCTAAATCCCCTTTCGGTGACTATTGGTGTATGAAAAACTGTGGTGGTTAAGTCATGTGAATGAAAAAATAAGCTCAGAGAATTAGCCTGCTTAGCCTGCTAGAGAATTAGCTTATTTTAGCTTTTAGCAGCTTATGCTAAGACTTTTCAGTGTTTGCACAAGGTTGCTTTTGAGGAATCACTCCAAATTTCTGTAGATCAGTTTGGGCATAAAATGTGAAGTCAGGCAGTTTAAGAGTAGCTACAAGTCTACAAGCACTGAAACTGGAAAACTGAGCAGAAACCTAATGGTCCATATTCACAGTGATGCGGTCAAATCTGACCGTAAAATATGCAAGTGAATTTCACCATCAGTTTTGTTATGCATCAGTTTCGTCTTTGACTTATCTTTGCATTCAAACTCATCTGGTAGCACTGCATGTAAATTTGAGTGTAAGTGTTTAACAAGCTGAAACATGTTTGATTTGTTAATAAAAATAGCAAATGAGAATAAAAACTGAAAATAACAATAATACTAATAATTAGTGTGCATGGCACTCCAGTACAAAAGTGGATGTATTTTATAATGCAAATAAGTGTAAACAAATGCTGCAACTATTCTGTGTTTCATTTAAAGACATATTACACTGTGCTTTTGTTTTATACTATTGACACTACCTAAAATAAACAAAACACAGCTAGTGCAGAAATATTCCATACACTGCAATAATACAGCATTTAAATGTGCTAAATCATAAAATAATTACAGTACACAATCACATCATTCTACTGTCCTAAAAGCTCACAGCCATTCTGTTTATTTCACATTGTATTTTTTCCGGTGGTAATTTGAACACTATGGTCATTAGAGGGAGCAGTGCTCAGACTTAACAAAAACTAATTTCACTGAGCACTGGTTAGTAAACTATTAGTATATCAGTAGACAATTTGCTAACAACTGCTTTTAGCTAACTGATGGCAGAACAACTTAAACTGAAATTAGCCAGAAACGAACAGTATACAATTAAGTGAACAAGATGGGCTGTGAAATGCTTTACAGACTGACTGGAACAAAACAATGTTCAGGTTAATCTGGTAAATACTGAAGTAATGAAAAAGAGTTGAACAATAGATTACAACATTTTTATGGCTCTGTCTATGACAATGCAATAAGGTTAGTTTTGTATTGGATATTTCTTTGCATATTCCACTCAATTTCTCATAAAATTCTCATAATCTTTTAATAATATTCTGTACCATGGATGATGACATTCCCAAGTTCTTTGCACTTTTAAGTTAATAAACGTTAGTCTTGAATTGTTGCACTGTTTGTCTGCACAGGCTTTCACAGAGTGGGGAACCCCATATCATCTTTACTTCTGAAAGACTCAGAGATGCTCTTTTTATATCCAGTCATGTTACTGTAGCCTTTAGCTTGTTAACCAGTCTCACAAGTCTGCACCGGTGCACAGCAGCACAGTACAGCCCTGAGAACCATTGGCTCTACCATGGAAAAGACACCATAGTTTTTCAGCCTTTTTAAAATGTGCCACTGTTTTGCTAGGGCATTTTGTGTGTTCCAGCTAATTCGCAAACCTCAGAAAAGCTACATGACCTGATACATATCATATCTCATGAACATATTTTCAGTTATCATGATGTAATATTTTTGTCATATTGCCCAATTGTACCACCAGACTGAAACTGCTTCTTCCATACAGGGGAAAGGATGGCGTCTCAATTTCCATCTAGCAATTAAATAACCACATAGACATGACGAGGCAGGATTTACTGCATCGAATCAGGCTTTTTTCTGTCATGCCTATTACATACAATCCATTAGATCTGCTACACGTCATTCTACAGCAAAGCAGAGAAATTGTGCCAGATCCAGGCGCCACTGCAGAATGTAGAATGACTGGAATCTAGACTGCTCCCAATTGTGTGCTAATTCCCCTGACTCACCTGAAAGAGAATCTCTTTAGTTAATATATGCAGTTAAGACATTTTGCTTGAACATATTTAATAGGCCACTTCCTTATATCAAGCCAGTTCCAAAAAAGTTAGGACAGTGGGTAAGATGAGAAAAAAACAGAAAGCAGTGATTTATAATTCTACTTTGACCTGTATTTGAACACAAACAGTGCAAAGATAATTAATGTTTTATCTTATCAACTTCATTGTTGTTGTTGTTTTTTTTTTTCTTACAAATATACCTGGACTCAGTATTTAGGAGGGGTGTCCACATGCCCTTGGCCATATAGTGTACACTGCATAGCTAGGAATAGTAGTAGTAGCCATCTTGAAGCCTGATTTTTTTCCACATTTGCAGTAATTTGTATACATTTGGTTGGTAGCAAAACTGTCACTTTATATGTTGGACTTTATATGAAGGACTGAAATTAAGCTGTACTGAAATATTGGTGTTTCTGTGTGTCTGAGTACAGGTTTTTGACTGGGTGTGCTAGAAGTGTCCTTACCCACAGCCTATTTCTCCTAATGTGTGCTCTCTTTCCCTTTGTGACAGTGTTTAACGGGCAGCAGCGGACAACAGGGGAGCGGGAGAGCAGCCTGAGGGTGAGGGGGAAAGAGGGAGCCCAGGGGAGAGAGAGAGGCTCCGGAACATCGTCCAGGGCTTCAACCACACACAACCTACGGCCCAGCAAGCCTGCAGTGGAAAACAAACAACAGGTACTGCAGTCTGACTACTGTGTGTGCAGTACGTGTATTATTATTTAACCATATTCCAGAGTTTCTGTATTATTTTAACTGCTGTTATACACTGCTTGGCCTGTAGTATTGCATGTGATTGAACTAGCCAAGAGATTGTGAACTGGGCTTTCTACTTTAATTAACAGACTGATATGGATGGAGAGTATTCCATGTCAGATCACAACAGTGAAAAAAGTGAAACGCAGTAGAGACATGGCATTACTTCTTATTAGTCTTGTGATGACCAGCAAAACCTTCATTACATTCTTATTCTGATGTGTCTTAATCTCAATTAGCAGAGATTTGCTTTTTAAGAATTACGTGCTGAATTTGTGACTGAAGGGAATGTAGTACACTTGTAAAGCAGTCCACACAGCTACACTGCACAGTGCTTTCAACATAGCTAAACTAAATGGTATGTGCATTATTGCATTTCTTAGCAGCGACTCCATAATCTTGATTGTATTTCCATCAAGAGTGTACAGGAGTCGTGCCACACTGAAATGTAATCACTTTCCAATTACAGCTCACTGCCGAACCTCGTCCAGTCACAGCTCAATGCTGAACTCTGGGGCATGGCTGTAAACCTTGTCCAGTCACATGTTATTGCCTGACATGGGGGTGTGGCTGTAATCACTGTCCAGTCACAGCTCAGTGTCAAACTTGGTAGGGCATGGCTGTAAACCCTAATCAGTCATAGCTCACTCTGTGGAGCATCACTGTCCAATCACAGCTCAGTGCCGAACTGGGAGGAGGTGCTGAAATCACTGTCCAATTACAGCTCACTTTCAAACTCGGTTCACTTATATGACTGAAGCATGTTCTGTCACTGTTACATAGTAAAGTAAATTTAATCCCGCGAAGAAAAAGAATCACAACAAAGACGACGGCTATCTGGCTGTGTAGCTAGCTAACGTTAATCTCTCAAGTAAACAGGATCACAGCAAAGATGATGGCTGTATAGCCATCAGTAGCTAGTGGCTAACCAGCATTGGTCTGGATAATAAACAAATCTTAAATAAAACTTCCAGAATTGTCATTTGCTGTGATGTCAGCACAATACAAATACAATGCAATGATGTGCATTTAGTTTAGCTATGTTTAAAGACTGAGTGTGAATTGCTTTAAAAGGTGAATTATATTCGCTTCTGACACAAATTCAGCATGTCTTACGAAGCAAATCTCCTCTAATTGTTCTCCAGTAAAGGAATCAAGCCACATCAGGATGGTGAAATAAAGGCTTTGCCTTTCAATTTGGCACATTTTCCTTACATCACTAATGAAAAGTAACAGGTTTCATGTATTTTCGCGAATTACTTTATTATCTGACATAGAGTTCTCTCCATGGATATGTTAACCTTTTATTTATTTATTTATTTAGTTTTAAGACAGAATCTCTAAATGAGCTGACTCTGCTATGCTGCAGTAACAACATTTCTGTTGCAAGTTTATGTAGGTTTTAGTGTTAGCTTACTAATACTAGATTAGATATGTGATGGAGAAATGAAAGAAGAAGAAAGCCTTATAAATCAAACATACTGCCTCATTTTTAAGGCAAAAATACTGACGATATAGGAAACAAATTTAAGTACATAGAGGTTATATTAGTACAGCAGAAACAATTTGGTGAAATTAAGTAATGCAAATGAAAACTGGAAGCAGACAGTGTTTTACTGTTCTGGAATAGAAACATTTGCTCCCCAGTGTTTTTGATCAACATCATGTCTTGCATGATTTCATTCAGCAAGTCATTTTACAAAATGTATATTGCATGTTTATAGTATCTTTGTTCTTAGACTATGGATACATTCAGCAATCAAGAATGCATTGATTAAATTTTTACACACCTTGTTTAAATATTATTTATGGCTGTCAAAGATAATGCATTAATAATGTGTTAGCATGACCAGTTACTAACACCACTACTTGTTTTAACACAGTTAATGCATTTTCCTAGTTTGACCCTTCGAGCCATCCGTAGTGGTGCTGGCTGAAGCCCAGCTGCAGTGTGCTGTTTGTTGCTATGATAGAATTCATGATTGTATCTCTCTCATTGAAATACACCACTATGTTAAAAGCACTGCCTTCAGCACCCTTGGCAGACTACACAAAGCAGAGAGATGCAGTTGCCCTTGAGAGCCTTCACTTTAACAAGAATCCATGAGTTGTATGAGCGAGAGGGCAATAATCATGGATATATACCACTGACTGTACATATAAGTGCATATTACATACAATACTGTGCAAAAGTCAGAGACCATCCTTCATATATTTCATTTCCAGGCAAAAAGACAGAGACCACCCTTCATTTGTTTCTTTTCCAGGCAAAAAGTCAGAGACCACCCTTCATTTGTTTCATTTCCAGCTGAAAAATCAGAGACCACCCTTTATTTGTTTCTTTTCCAGGCGAAAAGTCAGACACCACCCTTCATTCGTTTCATTTCCAGGTGAAAAGTCAGAGACCACCCTTCATTTGTTTCATTTCCAGGTGAAAAGTCAGAGACCACCCTTCATTAATTTCATTTCCAGGTGAAACAGCCATTAAATACTCAGTTATTCATTTTTTCATTTTTTTCAGTATTTAGTGTGTCCACATTTTGCTTTTATTACAGCTTCCATTCTTTTCAGTAGACTTGCATTCCTCTTTTCAAAGAAATCTGTAGGAACATTTTTCCACACTTCCAAGGTTTAGTCTTAGACGTTGGTTGTGTTTTCTGCTTCTCACAATCCAAGTAATCTCATCACATTGAATGACCTTGAAGTCTGGACTCTGGGGTGGTCAGTCCATTATTTTGATCAGCTTCTTTACTTGATTTGCAAATCTTTGCAAGCCTTCCATCACAGTGGAAGCATGGACAGAGACAGTCGTGGATTTTTTCAGATCTTAAGCAAGAGGGGAGCTTGATTTTCTGCTGTATCTCAAAGATGAAAGCTTTAATTGCTGTTTATCTGAAGATGGTCTACCACATCTTGCAGGTGGTTGTTAGGAGTCATATTTCCTCTAGATCTTTTAATAATTTTTTGAACTCCTGTTTAGGAAACTCCTGTCATTTTTTGGCTGTCCCCTGCTTATGCAAGTGGATTATCTTGTACCTGATCTCCTCAGAAATATCTATTGGAAAGCTGTATTTCTCTACTGAGTATATAATTTATATCTACTGAAAGGTTTATTCTATTACTTGTGCTGGACTTCGGTGAGGAAAATTAGAAACAGAATCGTGATTCTGATGTGCAATTTTATGTGAACTCTTTGTTATATTGACCACTCATACAGCGGTAACAAAACACTTCACCTTTTAAATGGAACAAATCTTTCTTTAGTAACAAATTTGAGCAAATAAGACTAATGTGATTAATACTGTGACTAATGTGTCGTAATGTTGTATAACAGTTTTGTTAAACTGGCCAAAATGTCACCTTTTTCAGATCAAGCAGAAAACTTGACATGTCTGCGCTTCTGGAAACTGCACTGTTCACAGTAAATGATCCACTGTGATTTATTCTGCCCTTATAGCAGATCTGTATGTGCCTGTGCGTGTGAGCTCAGTCCCAAGTTTCTCCCTCTCTCGCCAGGGCTTCCTATGGGCCGCCAGAGCGGCAGACGTTTCAGGTTAAGTGCGCTGCAGAAGGGCTATAGCAACACATGATGTCATCTCTTCTCTACCCAACCCCCTTTACTTTACACTCTCACACGCACACACATATACATGCACACAGAAAAAACAGTTTAGAGCACTCGGCAAGCGGCGGTGGGCAAAAGCACTGTCTAATGTTTGAGCACCCTAACCTGCCATTTATGGCCGCATTTGTAGAAATGTCTGCAGTTGTCGACAGTTTAGGCCATCAGGTTTTGGGGAAAGCAGTCTCCTCCCCTCCCCCACCACTCACGCACTCGCAGGCTGAACAATCACAGTACATGGCCCAGCTCACGTGCACACACTCCCCAAAGAGGAAGGCTATGCCTTCTGTGAGCCCTCTAGTGGAGAAAAAGTATTGCAGATACTCAAGCTGCTAGTAATATTGCAGTAAGGGCCAGTACAAATAACCCACCTCCATTTTTTCTTTGTTGTTCAGCTTGTACGGTACTGTGCAAAAGTACATTAACTTTCCAGCCAAAACAGCCAGCTTTAGGGAAAAAACAGAACATATATTTAAAAGAAAATTACACAGAAGCCTAAACTAAATATAAAATCATTTTTTCAGTGTTTAGGCACCCTTTGCCTTTATTACAGCTGCCACGACACCTAATTTCAGTTTTTCAAAGAATTTGCAGGGATATTTTTCCACACCTTCAAAAGTCTTAGAGGTTGGTTGCACTTTCTGCTTCTAATGATCCAAGTAACCCTGAACACATTCAATGATTTTGAGGTCTCTGGTCTGGGGTGGCCAGTACATTGTTCTGAGAGCACCAGCAGCTTCTTTATTTGTTGTACGAATTTTCTTTTTTCCTTTTAAATTCAATAAATGAAAGGTGGTCTCTGACTTTACTGTACAGTACTGTACATTTGAAGTATTAAAGCAATAGTTGTAAGAGCAGTCAAATTTAAACCTTATCACCCTTTTCCTAATGCGTAGTAAATCAGCCAAGACATGTTTAGAATCCAAAATGTTTTGCACTGGAGCTACAAGACTTAATATAGCTAACAAGGAATGGTTTATACAGGCTAATTAAAATACCTGTCTTGTGCAAATTGCATGCCTATATCATCATATACTTGCCAAGTCAAGTTGTTAAAGTCTAACAGACCTGGTTTGTGACACTATGAAATACTGGCATTTATCAAAATGGATAGAATTCAATAATTCAGTTACTGTTTTCTGTTATGCAGCACAGCTTTGTCTATTTCCATAGATAACAGCATGCCATACAGTGTCTGAAACCATATAAACAAGTCTGTTTGAGATTACAGCTGTACATGGTCTGATAGTTCAGCCATGCTTTTTGAATTATGGTAATTTATGTGGTATAAGCTCTCATTACTTGTTGGCTACTCATAGCTCCAGTACAAAACTAAAGAACTAAATGTCAGACCCCAAAGATGTGTTTGCTGCGACAACATTTGGATTAAAAGGGAAAATTGTATTCCTTTAAAATGAATTCAAATGACCCAAAAACACTGCTGTAATTTCTTTCTCCTTCCTCCAGCCCACTAAAGTGCAGCGACCCCAGAGAGCCACTTCTGCTAACAGCCGGAAGGCACGGAAGGAAGATCTCCCACCTCCTCCCCTGACCAAAGCTGTGAAATACCCCAAGGGCCACGTGACGTACACCAAAGCCAGACTGCTGAAAGAGGCCAAGCTGGACCCAAGTGCACACAGACGCCACCTGAGCTCGCAACACACCCACGCACACCTTCAGCACATCAACTCAGGAAAAGCCCAGACTGGCCACGGCAAGACGCAAAAACAGGTGCTATCATCTGCGGCCAATGGCTGCTGCCCGAGGCTGAGCGGGCTGACCAACGGCAGGCAGAGCGGGACGGACGCATGCCCACCCAGGCGGGATGGACTACGGCAGTCTAAAAGGCAGCTGGAGATGGCGAAGGTAGGGCTGGGTGAATGCATCTAAATGGAATTTCTGAGTCAGTACTGGTGAGTAGTTGAGTGTAGTAATATTATTATAACATTAGAATTAAATGAAAATTCCTAGCTGAAAATTGAGACACAAAAGGCTGAAAACCAATGTTTTTGCAGCTTTACTACAAGAATAAAAACACCTTGATTAGATCAATAAAATCTGCTTTTCATAGGAAAAAACTGAAGTCACAATAAAAACAGTTCACATGAATGTACTAAAATTACTTGGACCACTATAAAAACCATGATATTTAGGCCAAGCTCTAAATATAGTGATTTTTACTGATGGTGTGGGGCTTGGCAAAGTCCAGATTTAAACCCTATAGAGCACAGATGTCCGATCTTATCCACAGAGGGTTGGTGTGGCTGCAGGTTTTCACTTCAACAAAGCAGGAGGTCAGCTGATAAAATGTTCGAAGACTAAGACCGACTGATTAAACGAGTAGAATCAGGTGTGCTTTAGCTTGTTTGGAGTGAAAACCTGCAGCCACACTGGCCCTTCAGCTGTTTGACCATTAAAAGCTTAATATTTTGCCGTGTTGGGTTTGGCCTGTTTTTTTGCATTAGAGTGTCGGCTACAGTATGCGCCACAAACTCCAATACCCTTGACAACAAAGAACGGTTGGTCATTAGTGAATTCCATTAAATTTTTGTTAGATTTTCCACATTTGCACTGTTGTGTGTGAATGTTTTTATCATTTCAGAACATCACTACAGATTATCATTATGCTAGCAGGGACTTTCCTTTCTGCTTCTGATGTTTTGCTGTATTGAGCATTTCAAACAAATGGTTGTGTTTTCAAGTTGTATCAAACCTGTAGAGGAGAAGTGCTTGAGTGTTGTGCCTTCTGTTGATACTCAAGAGGATGAACAGCGATTACAAATCTATTGTCTAATGTCCCTCGTAGAAACCATTAAATAGTTCAGATTTTTTCCGCTGTTAATCCGCAGCTGCCCAAACTGTTTGAACGCGTCTGACCAGTACAGGAGAACGAAGGAAATAAACAGCATGTTAAGCACTGTTTACCGTTTTCATTATCATTCGGATGACTTGTGAAGTGTTACATTTTGACACTTTGTTATCGTCCTATTTAATCTTTTGTTTTTTTCTGCTTTTTATCTTTCAGCAGAACACCAAAAGTGCCACTTTTGACCATTTGCGGATTAAATGTTTCAGTAGACGAAATTCCAGCGCATCCTTAATTATAGTCATATTAACATATAATGGAAAAGCATTTTGAATAACTCATACATTTACCACTTTTATGAACCTAGGCACTTCTGTGGGGAAATAAATGTTTACCAAGCCAAATACTAGATTCTCTTACCCTCACCATGGTATCTCAACCCAGAACTCTAACAGAGACATCCTGAAACCAGCCACAGTTCCTAAATCAGCCAAACCACCCAGGTCCAGCAATCCCATCAAAACAACCGGCTGTTAAAGCCAACTTGGCTAAGGGGTGGCTGGTAGACAAATTTCCCTCATACATACGATAACATAACAAGTTTAGCGCACGCTCAAGTATAAGCGGTTTTAAGCTGCTTAAAAACTTTCATTACTCCCCCATCCATTTTCATTTTTAAGAACATGGGTAAACAGATGCTGTTTTGCTCTTTGCTACTGCTCACTGCTGTTCAAACAGAGCCAGGTCAGGGTTGCCAGATTAGGTAGATTCAGCGACTTGCTGTAAAAGTTTTTTTTTTTTTTAATATCTTGTAGTATTTAAATTAAGTTTTATTAAAAAGTAAGGTAAATAAATACAATTTATGCAATGATGCAAAAATAATTAAAATTACAAGAATAAAAAAGGTTTTCCTGTTTTTTTTTTTTTTTGGTATTTTGATGGTCTCTTATAGATGATGTACACACACGTAAATCATTAAGAAACTTTCTGGAGATTGATTATCAACAACGTTAAGGTTAGATTAGGTAAGGGCGTCTTTTAACTGACGTAACAGAATTGGCAGTTAGCCTTCTCCTCCAAGCACGTTGAGCTGTCTAATGACTTTGAGTGTAGTAGCACTTCATGTGTCTAAGACAACTACCACCACTGCCAGTATGCTACCATTGTGGTGTTGCAGTGATTGTTGCAAGTCTGCAAGTGATTTTAAAAACTAGACAACCTGAATTTTTTAAGTGTATTTCATTATAGTTGAGAACTGAGGTGTGATTTTTTTGTTGCTCAACTCTAGGCGGGAGCGAATCTGACCGAAGCAGGGGTGGAGGTGGAGGTCAAAAAGGTCAAAGTGCAGGTGGTTCCCCTGGACACACGGAGCAGGAGAGCAGCTCAGGAGACAGCAGCAGCAGGAACCCGCGGAACGACACAAGCGATAGGATCTCAGAGGCCCAGACGTACCTCTGCCGGGAAGCTCATGTTCATCAAGCAGACGCACTGTACAGCCACAACTCGGGCCAGGAGCAGCCCTACTACCTCAACCCAGAACCCCAACAGGGATGTCCCAAAACCAGCCACAGTTCCCAAACCAGCCAAACCGCCCAGGTCCAGCGATCCTATTAAAATGACCAACGAACCCAACCCGGCAAAGCCTCCCAAACCAGCAGAGCCCAAAGTGGCCCAAGAAAGAGAGCGGGGCAGGCGGGGCACTGTCCCCGAGATGACGGAGGTTCCCGTCTTCCATCCTGCCCCACGTGAGTTCCACGATCCGCTGGCCTACGTGGAACTGGTGCGCCACCGGGCCGAGCCATTCGGTCTCTTCCGTGTGGTCCCACCAGTGGGCTGGCGGCCCGAGTGCAAGCTGAAGGAAGAGATGCGCTTCGTCTCGCATGTGCAACACATCCACAAGCTGGGCCGACGCTGGGGCCCTAATGTGCTGCGGCTTGCCTGCATCAGGAAGCACCTGCGTGCTCAGGGCATCAACATGGAGGAGCCGCCATTAATCGGTATGATTTAAATCAATAAAAATGATATAATATATAATAATTACATAATCAGTACAAAAACAGTCTTAACTTTAAATGCAAGTTAGCACACTTAAATTCCCAGGAATATTACATCCCAGTGTTTATCATGGAAAGCAATGCAAACTGACTGGAATGCTCTTAAAGTAATGGTTTGGTGAAAAATCAAAACTTTACAACCTTTACCCTGTAACCCTTTACCCTGTAGTTACAAGTACAAGTTTCTCAGGAAGTTATCCAGGACACCACACTGTAGAGTTTGTTGCACATTCTGCAGTAACAACTAATGATTAGCTTCATAATGGCTTAGGAAAAGAGTTGGGTTAAATCAAGGAAATTACTGATCTCTACTTGCTTGGTCTCCCCAGCTGTACAGTCTGACCCATGTGGTTTAGGAGCTCCAAACTCAGCAGTGTCTTCAGATATACTGAATTTCTTACTCAAGTTAAACCTGTTCATATGGAAAGGACAATGTGCCAGATCATAAATTAACCATACACTGTTAGAAATAAAGGTACTGTGCAGGTACATTTTTCATTCATCAAGGTACAAACAGTGTAAATGTTCCTTCAAAGGTACAGCAGTGGTTTTAAGGTCCAATTGTGTAACCTAAATATATTTTTCCCTAATGTTTTAAAACAGAACAAGAAAATAAAAAGCCTGGAGATCGGACGGGGTGTCAGTGTGACTTAGAAAATATTATTTCAATGGTACAATTATGTTTCTTGACTAAAGGTACTGAGAGGTACTGAAAGGTACCACCCCAGTGACAAGAACTGGGCCACAGTGAAAAATTGCTGGAAAATGGTAACAGCCACGCTCCCAGTTTTGACAGTAAGCTATGACTGGACATTGTTTACAGCCAGTCCCCTGAGTTTCGTAATGGACTGTAATTGGAAATTGGTTTACAGTCACTCTGAGTTTGGCAGTGAGCTGTGATTGGACCCAGTGATTACAGCCATGCCCCTGCTTTCAGCAGTGAGCTGTGATTGGACAGTGATTGGACAGGGTTTACAGCCACACCACCAACTTTGACATTGTGATTGGACAGTGATTTAAGGCATTCTCCTGAATTTTTCTCTGAGGTGTGATTAGACTGGGAGCTTGTTTAAGCTGCGCCTCGCTTTAGTGGTTGGCGAGAGTAGCTGTTTGCAGTTGGAGGAGGTGTCAAGAAGAGAGCCGGCAATCCAGACAGTTTTACCAGAAGCACCCCTTGTGAGCCGGCAGCTTTTGCGGCATTGACCTGTCATGTTTAATATTTCTTTGAAGAATATACATCTGAATTTCACATGTGAAAATAATAAGCATAAATACTACACATTTTAATAGGCTGTGTGCTGTATTTAACGCAGTTTGTGTCCACATAGTTGTCGACCGAGCTTCTAGCCATTAAGAATTAGACTCTGTCTCCATCAAACCGTTTCTCAGCTCACGCAGCCAGGCGGAGAGGAACTGCGCTGACTGGTTCTGCAATGAGCTGTGATTGGGTGGTGATTACATTTCAGTGTGGCGCAACTCCTAAGTTCTCATCAGGGAAATACATTGAAGACAGTGAAGTCATATAAAGAAACCCAATGATGTTCTTAGAATTCTGTGTTGAACACACAACGCAAAGAAATGCAATGCAGCCGTGTGCATTGCTTTACAAGGTGGATTACATTCGTTCCTGACCCAAATTCAGCACTTAAAAAAGCAAATACCTGTAAATGTTTATCAGTAAAGAGATCATGCTACATCAAAACAGCACAGTGAAGGTTTTGCTTTTTAGTTTTCCACAGTTTCCTCATGTCATTAATAAAAAGTAATGTAATTTGTGTATTGCATTTCACTTTTTTTGCTGTTTTGACTGTCTTAATATTTTGCACGAAATCGTGTCCATATGTTTGGAAGTAACATCTTATTTTACTAGACTCTGCTTAATCATGTTTGATGGTCTGTCATACTAGTGTACACAGTGAGGGCGCTTATGTTATAGGCCATCAAATCATTTAGAACTAGTTCTAAAACATTCAGAAGTTGAAATGACTCTGCTCTGTTATGTCATCTCCATTGATCTTTTGGATGACCCATTTCTACTCGCCTGGTTCTATAATACAAATGCCCCTCTGTGGTCTTCGTGATCTTTGTATAAGTGGGCACTCTTACTCTTAAGCGTCTGGCCTGTGTGCTGTGGATAGATTAGTCTGCCAGCACTCCGACAGCCTTCTTTGATTAGATCATACTGGATCTGTGGCTGTCCGACAGCCAAGGCTTGGTGAGCCAGCTCAATCTGGCCACCTGTAGACAGAGCTGAAAAGCAGCACTGACGTGCCAAGAGCTGGGCATCCTGCTTGCCAGTCCTCAAGCTCCAGGCACTGTCTCAGTGCCACTCTAGCACAGCCTGCATTGGCCCCATAGACTCTCAGCTGGCACTTATTCACCCTGTGACTGCCCGTGAAGAATGGAGAATGTACACAGACAAATTTTAGAGGTGGATACCTAAGAGACAAATGTGAAGGACTCGTTTTTGATTGTCAAGGATGAAAGTTTGTTTTTGGTTGGGTCAGTCAGTCTTGAAATTGAAGTAATCACTTGCAGTAAAGTAGTGAAATGTTTACTTGAATCTTTGTTCATTACGTTGGTATTTATTTCTCTATTTAGGGTTTGGATAATTTGTTTTTTCAAGCCACAAAAATTTTAGCCTGAATACAATACATTTAATTGCCAATGGTTTTTATATAGAATATGGAAGATAAATGAAATTATAGCTGGTTTCGCTGACTTTGTCATAGATTCACACCAGGCATCCAGTACAGTTGACAAAAGGATATCCAGTTAACCATGGGTAAAGAAAAAAAAGATACTTCTGCCGAAACTGATGCAGAAGCTGGAGACTCTTTCAGGTGATGACTCCAAAATTTAGCAGAGGAATACAATACAAAACATGTATCATTACTCAGAAAAGTTGAGGAATAATTGGAAGTTTTTGTGTTGGATGAAACCGAGGCTGCCTCTTCAGATGTGAGCTAAAACTACAGCTAACTGGTATAACACTGGATGCTAATAAGGACTCCTCATTTACATCTTTTTCTTCAATGGAAGACATGCCAACATGTTAGTTTGTCAGAGAAATTTCCACCATTTCTGGACCTAGCTAACATCAGCTACTATAAGTGGTGTTTCATTGAATCATTAGTCTATATAATTGGCATTTCAAACGATTCATTGAGTACTCGAGTGCCCGTGCGTATCACTAGCATCCAAGTCACGTTGCATCAGAGCGCAACAAACTTCAACATGTCTGTCTCCATTTCAGCCACCCAATAAATCATCTTTTTATTTTTATGTCCTCTGATCTGGTCAAATGGTTTGACGTGATCACGTGATGTGTCTTGTGCATTTCATGAAACTGTGTCATGAAGTGGAGCCACCTGCAACTGTTGCAGCTGAGTTTCAAATGAGTTGCGGGATGCTTTACATTATGCAGTTCAAATGCAGTTTAGCTTCATGTAGGCTTCAAGCTACTAAAGTTGCATTAAAGCCAGTCTATCATAAGCCAGAAATTATGCATGTGAGTGCTTTAAATAGGTGAAAAATGTTAAGTGCAAAATTTTTGATAAGAGGTTGGTAAAGACAAGACACGTCTGATCATCTCAAATAAGTATGTATTCATGCCAGACATTTTGTTCTTCTTCATAGTCTATTATCACCTTTCCCCAGCATAACAAAGTCACAGGACTCCAAAGCACACCCAGGGTTTGGAGAACGAACTGTGTATGCACATGACATTTCAAAATCATGTAAGCGTGGTGTAAGTGAAGTACAACTCTGACTTGACAGCATAAACAGCAGATCTGCTTTTTTGCAACAAAATCACAGTTGCAAATTATTGTTCCAAATATAGTTCAAAAATACTGTAGAAAGTATGTGTGTAATTTGCCTGATTCTCAGTGGTGTTTATGCTTCACACACAGGTACAATAAAATAGAAAATAAAATTCAAATAAGGCCCGATATCTGTGTTCCTCCAGTCATGTTTGTGTATTTATTGTATACTTCAAAATGATTCTTAATTTTACTGAAGAAATTAAATCGAATTGAATCATGGTGAAATTTGAGATTGAATATTGAACTGAATCCTACGAGAATTGTAATCAAATTGAGTTGTTGGGAGGTCAGAAATGTATACCCTTAATTGGTGGTTATTCACATTTCATACCAGGATCAATCCTGCACATACCTTCTTACCATGTTGTCTCTTGTAGGGGGCTGCGAGTTGGACCTGGCCCGGTTCTCCCAGCTCCTGAACGACATGGGGGGCATGCAGCAGGTGACGGACCTGAAGACGTGGGGGCGACTAGCTGATCTTTTGGGCATCCCACGCTCGGCCCAGGATCGGCTGGCCAAGCTCCAAGAGGCCTACTGCCAGTATCTGCTGTCCTATGACTCGCTGTCGCCTAGCCTGCAGGCGCAGCTGGAGAAGGATGTGCTGGCTGAAAAGGACAGCATGGAGAGGAAGAACGGGCCACTGGAGGGCCAAGCGGACATCTCCCAGCATGCTGCTCTGGTTCTGCCACGCTGTGAGCCCAAGAACGGCCTGGTGAATGGAGCACTGCACCGGAGCGGAGTCCGTGAGCGTCTCCGTGAGCTGGACCCCATGGCCAGGAGCAGCCGCCCAAGACGACAGGACAAGAAAGAAGAGGAGGACTGTGTGCTGAGCGAGCTGCACAAATGCTTCTACAAGGTACAGCCTCTGGACCCAACTCACCTGTGTCACAGTGTGTGGAGATCCGGAGAGGAATCAGCAATTCTAGACCTCTAGTTTTAGGGGATGATGTGACCTTAGGTCTGTGCCTGCTGATGCTTTGTGTTAGCGGAACACTTAGGGAGCTAGTGTAGTTTTACCTGACTAATCAAACTTTATTTAAAGCCCCAGGTGTTTTCTTTCTAAGTACATTGGTTCTGCTCTTTTGGGCACACAATATACATGTACAAAGTACGTCCTGTTAATAAATGTCCAATGCCCAATAAAGGATGAGTGTATTTTTCCAGAACTCTCCTCTGTAGATGTACACTGGTCAGCCCTAATTTTGGGTAATGCATACGCAAGCAGAAATTTACATCCCTAATTAGTAGTTCATCAGTAATTAGGCTGATTTGAGTTGTCCTGCCCACACAGCTTTAACAAAACTGCCATTTGCATTTTCTGTTCCTCTTTGCAGGGAAAATCGTTCTCCCTAATGACATTCTACCGGGCAGCCAGGAACACCATGAATATGTGCTTCAGCAGAGAGCCAAATACAGCTGAAGTTGAGGTACAGCTGCTCTTTTCAACTACAGAACAATAGAAAGCTGGGCTGTTTCAGATGAAGGGAACCATTCAAATGCTCAAGTAAAGCTGCTGATAATACACTCGTTGTAAGCTATTTAATCTAAGGATGTTTTCAAAAAGCCCTCAGTTTTTAGCCAAAGAAAGTATGAAGTTTTAAGTATCAAAACATTTTACAAAGAAGTAAACTATAGAACCATTCTTTTCTCCATCATGGCCAAGAAATCTGTTTGTAGACTTAAAGAGAATTATTTCTGTGACTCCAAATAGAGTTGATCAGTCAAGACGTGGTAGGTGTCCAAAGTTTGCTTCTTTAGTTTTGCACTGGAGCTACAAGACTAATGTGCATGGAGAAGAATTTGTGTCAGATTGACAGTGGAAAAACATGAAATGCAATGCACACACATAGTTTCCCACACATAGGTTATACCTTGGCAGTGAGCCAAGGAACATGGACACCTGCCAAAGTACATTTCAACCATTTGAAAAATATTTTGAGCAGTTTTATTAATCCTTTTAAAAAAAACAATGTGCTCTTAATTTGACCTCTACATGAACGGAGCTCGTGTCAGGGGGGGCGAGTGCGAGAGACTGAAGGAGACAGCGAGAGAGAGAGAGAGAGAGAGAGAGACAGGAAGAGAGAAGGAGACAGCAGCACACTGAGAGAGACTGGAGGAGCCAGTGGGAGAGTGAGGGGTAGTGAAGGCGAGAGTGGCAGTGTGAGAAAGTGAAGGTGACAGCGGGAGAGTGAAAGAGAGTGAGGTAGACAACAAGAAAGTGAGAGAGAGTGAAAGAGACAGCATGGGGAGTGAGGGATAGTAAAGGAGACAGCAGGGGAGAGAGAGAGAGAGAGAGAGAGAGAGAGTGAAAGAGACAGTGGCAGAATGATAGTAAGTGAAGGAGCCAGCGGAGGAGTGAGAGAGTGAAAAAGAAAGCGGAAGAGTAAGGGATAGTAAAGGAGACAGCAGGAGTGTGAGAGAGTGTGGAAGAGACAGTGAGAGAGTGAGGGATAGTAAAGGAGACAACGGGAGAATAAGAAAATGAAGGAGGCAGCGTGAGAGTGAAAGAGACTGAAGGGGACAGCAAGAGAGTGGGAGTCTGTGAAGGAGACGGTGGCAAAGAGAGTGAGAGTAAAGGAGACAGCGGTAGAGTGAGAGAGTGAAGGAGGCAGGCAGAGTGAGAGTGAGGAAGACAGAGGGAGTGTAAGAGATAAAAGGAGATGGGCAGAGCGAGGGAGAGTGAAGGAGACAAAGAGGGTGGGAGAGTGTGAAGGAGACAGCAGGAGAGTGCGAGAGAGTGAGGGAGACAGCAGGAGAGTGAGAGAAAGTGAAGAAGACAGCGGGAAAGTGAGTAAGAGTGAATGAGACAGCAGGAGAGTGAGAGAGAGTGAATGAGAGCGGGACAGAGAGAGAGAGTGAAGGAGACAGCAGGAGAACGAGAGAGAGTGAATGAGACAGCGGGAGAGTGAGAGAAAGTGAATGAGAGCAGGAGAGTGAGAGAGTGAATGAGACAGCGGTAGAGTGAGCAGCATAAAGTTAACTACATGTAAATCTACATGTACATGTTTTCAGTTAAGTGACTTGAAAACATTGCTTTTCATTTTGGCAAACATTCTGCATGTCACTATGGAAAAGTAATGTTACGTGTGATCAGTATTTCACGTTTTTCCACTGTAGTAATTGCATTTCAGTTGGGTACAGTTTCTTCTCCATAGGAATTTAACAAATAATGGAATCTTATACTCCACCAATTAGCATTGGTTTCTCAGTTTCTCAAATAGTCTTGCTTACATGGTTTCTGCCGCTGTAGGACATAATGTATGTATCCATAAAAATGGAGAAAAGTACAGGCAGTTTTTTAAAATATGCTTTCTTGTGCTGCTGTCCTTCCACAGCAAGAGTACTGGAGACTGGTAGAGGAAAAAGAATGCCATGTCGCAGTGCATAGTGGGCGAGTGGACACAAAGACTCACGGGAGTGGATTTCCTGTGGGCAAGTCTGAGCCATTTTCAAAGTAAGAACCCACAATTGCAAAAAAAAGCTCACTGCCAGTTTGTTTGGGACATTTTAAGCATACACTGCTGCACAGAAGTTTGGATCCAGTTATATTATTTTGGAATGTTTCTTATTCTTTCAGTAATAATGATACAGTGTGGATTTAAATATTACAAACTACTTTGCAAGTAGTTGTTAATGTAGATTAGCATGGTGTACCGTAACAGTTAAATACTTCAGATGTTGCTGATTTTAAATGAAGTGCTTTAGCTAGCTACGATATGTTAGAATCAAGTAGTGTTGTAATGGAGAAGAGCAGGTTTTGTTTCATGTCAGAAGAGCACTTCTGTACATCTGTAACTAAAGTATCTTTAATAGTTTTGATCCCGCTCCTCATCTGTCTCTTTCATCAACAGTCCCTGTAGTACAATGACCCCAGGAATCACATTTGAGACATATGTATCAGAGGAGCCGTGTTAATCTCTAACAATAGTGCAAAAGTTTAAAATATACATAAAAATAATGGAGTTTATTGCCTTGGTTTATGACCAAACTGGTGTTATCTGGGGTTGAGGACGTTGAATTTCATGGCACATACTGTAGCCTTCATACTATATACGTAAATGACTCCATATGATTCACTTGCATGGATTTTACATATGTTAAATGTAGTGTTCGGGAAGTAAATCAATTTTTTTGGGTTCTGCAGTTCATTGCAGCTGGGGTTACTGGATTTCATGCTTTGACTTCTCATTAATTTCAGGCATGGATGGAATCTTACTGTCCTTTCCAAGAACTCAGGATCCATCCTGCGTCATCTTGGTGCTGTGCCAGGTTAGACCACACTTCCTGACCTCTGAATACAATTCATTTCCCTTCAGTTTAGCTCAATTTATTGTTTATAGGGTTTTACGTTGTTAAAAGGAATCAAGGCAAAGACTACAATAATGTTTCATTTTAACATTTTAGCTTTTAAAGATATGCAGTCTCTTCATTCTTTTCCTTGGGTAATACCTTTTGATTAATTAAACGTGTTCAGTTACAGTGAATGGCTAAAATGTCCTGTCTTCATCCTTGTTTGTGGTTGTGAACAGGAGTGACCATCCCCTGGCTGAATATAGGCATGGTCTTTTCTACCTCATGTTGGTCCAGGGACCAGAATAGCCTTCCATACATAGATTACCTACACACTGGTGCTGATTGCATTTGGTAAGGGTTTAATGATTTTCTCTAAAAGTCTAGAATGTGTGTATCTTATCAGCTGCATTGATTTTGTACTGTTAAAATCATTTCTAATCAATGATAATACCATTTAGTAAAGTTTGAAACAATATTAGGGGAAAATAAATATTCAAAATGCCTACCCTGTAGTTCCAGTCACTTGCCACTTTATGAGCCCTTCTGGTGTCATGCATTTGCCTATGCACCCTCAATCTTATTCTTCACTGGTCACTTTCTGACCACAGAAACACTGTATTAATTGGATGGTGAATTTGTCTCATCACAGTGACACCTTATCATTGTAGTGTATGTGGCAGAGTGTATCAGGCACAGTGGTCTTGCTGGAGTTTTTAGATACAGTACCATTATTAGGTTCAGAGTGGTCAACCACCTAAATGATCTATCCAAAACTTCTGTGGTGAGAACCCAACCACTGATGAACCTCTAGAGCAGTGGTCATCAACCCTCCGCCTGGAGATCTTCTTTCCGGCAGAGCTTATTTCCAACCTGCATCTACCCTCTGCAGGTACGAGGAGAGGGCTAAGCTGCCCTCTCCTCGTACCTGCAGTAATGTATCTAACCCAACCAATCAAGAACTTCTGAAGAAGTTAATTATCTGGAGCAGGTGTAGCCGATTGTGGTTTGAACTAGACACTGCAGGAAGGTAGATCTTGTAGATCCAGATTTGGTGACAACTGGACTAGAGGATGTCTAACATAGACTGTGCTTCAACAGATGAGCTACAATATCCAGCAGGTTAGGGGTTTCTGTTAAAGTGGCAACGGCCAGTAAATGTATACCTGTGTCATGCCTCTTCGTAGGTACTGTATTCCTGCCGAGGAGAAGTCAAAACTTGACAAAGTAGTACACACACTGCTGCAGGCCAACGGAACCCCAGGGCTCGAGATGCTGGAGAAGAACATTATGGTAAGTCGGTAGTTATGTTTCCCACACACTGTACCGACTCCTCCACGCACCCACAAATAGAAAATTGTGAAAAAAAGTTCATAGCCCACAACTGTTCCCAGCCTACGCGCTTTTGAAGGATTACTTTGCGTTTAGAAGAAGCTCAGGCAAGAGTCTGGCCAGTGAATATAGGAGTGCTTTTGGAGAAATGCAACTGTAGGCAACTATGAATGTAGTGGCATGTCCTTTTTCCTAATGAATTATACTGGGTTACCACAGATCCTTGAGAAATCTTATAAAGTCTTAAAAGATTTTGAAAACACTTTTTAGTATTAGAGGTACCAGTTTGCATATTTTGATGGACCAAATATCAGCTACAGCAACCTTGTTACACCAATGATCTTGATCTATCTGCAGTTTATATTAAGCAGAGACCTAAGAGACTTAAATACTACATCCATCCACTTACATCAGGCACAGATCAAGCAAGCAATGCTGTTTCCTTTCTCATAGATAAGATGATGGTCACTGTGGTATTCAAATACTCAGATTATAGACTAATACAATCTCAGTTGATGAAATCTGAAGTTGCGCTTACATGTTTAATAACCTAGGTGACAGAATTGCTTGGTCATAGTGACATTTAACAACACAAATATGAACTTTTCTCAGTTAAAATTTAGTCTCACAAATGAGGACATATTAAGAGAATAACATTTCTGCAAATTCAGTATTATTTTTACCTGAAAGCTTGAACAACTCACTTTCTTCTTGGGAACTAACCTCTATCAGACCTGCTTCTCCCTCTCCTTACCTGTGTTTAGTAACATGTTATTTGTATTAATCTCAGGTTTACAAGAACTACAGGAATAATGAGAGACCAATCAGTTCAATTTTTTTTTGGAACTGGTAAAAATCTCACCTGTCTTCCCTTCGATGGACCTCTGAGCTTTCATCTACAGTTTTAGGAATTGAGGGATATAAAATTGCGTTATGTTCACTCTACTCACTGATATTATCTTATTATAAATAGCAATATATGACTAATATTGGTGTTATGAAATACTGAAGTGGTAAATGAAAACCAGCAATATAAAGAGCTGTTAATTATATATCTCTTTCACTTATTCATCCTCTTACTATCTGTTAATTTTCTTACATTTCTAACAATAGTTGGTTTGTCAGCTAGCTAACGTTAGTGTTACATAGCTGGTCGTCTTTTCTTTACTCACATTAATCTAAAGTTAGCTAGCTAACAAACAACCGGATCAGTAGGCAGTTATATTGACCATAATTTGTCACAAATCCACATTTTAGGTACTGATGAGTTTTTTTTGAAAACAGTGCTTTAAGGCGTGTATCGAAATGACCACGTCACATGATTTCAGCAAGTGAATCTTCATTACGTCATCACTGTTTTGAAATTTTTTAAGTTTGATGCTAGTGGGGTGACCCCCAAAGTGAACCCGTGTCAAAAGTGGGTTGGTCACCTACTGATCTCAAATCAGTTGTCATTATTTAGGTTCATATTAACTTATTTAAATGACTCTTGGCTGAACAGCAGTCAGTCAGAGTTTTTAGGTCTTGAGGGATCACTTGACATGTTACTGTCACGCCAATATGTTTTATGAACACATAAAAGTAAAAAGATTAAAATTTCTAAAAATCCAGTGCACAAAACCTCTGTACACACATTTTATTTGATACAGTACATAAATATTATGATTTGTACTACTGCCACACAATCCTTTTGTGAACATGATTAAAATATAGCAACTACATGTATCAAATCCATTATGATGATATCCACATACTTTTGGCCATATAGTGTATTTTGAATAATAAATAATGAAGAATGAGTAAGAAAAACTTAAAATGATTTGAACTCATAATGTACATTTATTTGGGGGAGCTGAATAACATTTAGGGGGGTAAAGCTCCACTAAAACTGGCCTAGAGATGCCACTGTACTCCCCTGTTGTAGAGATGCCATAAACGGACATTATCCACAGCAGTGAGGCATTTTTCTACATTAACAAAGAGATCTACATGACAACAGAAACTTTTTTAAGGGGAAAAATAAAACTGTGTTATATCTGCACTGGTAGCGGCATTCAGTAAAACATAGGAACGTAAAACATGAGCACGTGGCTGTTTCGCTTTGAGTTTTTCTCTTTACCGCTGAAAACGTTCCCACAGCATTTTTCACTCGCGAATCATGCCTAGTTGAAAATGAAAATGCTTTACCGGCCTCGGCGACTCTGCTTTTAAACAAGCGCTGAATAAACAGCATGTTCAGACTACTCTGCACAATGAAAAATTTTTGGTAAGACGTTGGTTTACCATGGAGTCACGACACGTTTGATGAGTCATCTCAAGTATGTAAGTATAGTGATACTTATCTGAGTACCGTTTGGTAGGCTACATACCTCATTTCAGTTCATTTACGCCTTCATTAGAATAAACTTTTATTATTATATGTATTGTTTCCGCCAATTGAATATATTTAGAAACTTTAAAATCATAGTTAATTATAAAACATGAAATATTCTTTTGTTTTTAAGGGTGGTTTTGAAAATGAGTATATAGGTGCTTGTTTGGAAATAACGAAGGTTCAAAGCCTGTTCAATGCTATTTGGGCCGCCCCAGCTATTTTGTTTTATGATGGGTTAAAGCTGTGCACAGAGATGTAAACAAAATCTAACTGCATCTACTAACACCAGTGCAATTTCAGCATACTTTCTCATAAAGCAGTTCAAGCTAATCAAAACAAAGACTCACGGGCCATTAAAGAACTACTTCAGTTCCTCAAGTATTTTGTCAATCCCCAGCACCTTTTTGACGACGTCAAAGAGAATCAGTATATTTCCTAAAAGAGTGCCACTTGTGGCTTCTTGGGGCGAAATACTGACGAACATCCTTAAAAAAGAAAACATATTTACATGTTTGTGTTTTGGCCATCTCCTACAGTGATGTAACAGTGATCTTTCTGGTGCTCCTCAAACATAGATCTCTCCAGAGGTGCTCCGTCGAGAAGGGGTGAAGGTGTACCGGACGGTGCAGCGGTGTGGCCAGTTCATGGTGTGTTTCCCCGGAGCCTTCGTGTCCAAGGTGTGTTGTGGCTATAGTGTGTCTGAGACAGTGCATTTTGCCACACCTGAGTGGATGAAGCTGGGCTATGAGGCAGCGAAGGTGAGTGTCTCTCAGAGAAGGAAAGAGAACAGCTTTTAGCAAGAAAGCTAAAAGGACAGATCCAAGACCATTCTACCTCCTGTTCCTTTTGTTTGGTGGGATTGCCATTTTAGCTCTGTGTTTCAATACAGTTTTTAACTTGCCCTCAACGACGACACAGAAATGTGGCCTCTAGCAGGACACGGCGGAGGGGACAACGAACAATGGATTTTTCGCTAGGAGTGCACATGCCCTCAGCTAGCAATGCAGTCCGTATTTTGAGCAGTCCAAACGTAATATGCGTGAACTTGGTAAATAACTGTTTTGTCGGGCTCAAGCTTCAGGTTAAGAATGAGAATTGTGGTGCTCTTCTGTTTTGTTGCTACTAGATGTGTATTCTAGGGCTGAAACAAATGAAGGTTTTCATTCAGAGACGCTGTATGTCCATTTGTAACGATTTTGGGTATAACGCTGCCTTTTTTAATTTCTGTTATAAAAGTACTATTAATCATATCATTTATATTTTTGTATATGTAAAGCCTACCACCAGCAGTGTATATATGTTTTTTACATGGTCTGTAATGTGTTTTGGAACGAAATCCCTCAAATATTTAATAAATTTAAAAATATTTTGAAAATATAAAAGCCATTTATATAACCAATATGTCAAAACTTTTATGAACCTAGACACTTCTGTGCGGAAACAAAAGTGGAAAATACCAAGTGCCAAATACTAGCCTTCTCACCAGTAGCACGCAGCTGTGAGCTATGCACATGAAAATGGTTCTATATAGCACCAGTGTTCTGCTATTGTTAAGATTGTAACAATAGATAAACTCTTTTTGGTACTATATAGAACCATTTACAACACAAAGCGAGAGGTGAAATAGTTTATCACCAAAGGTGCAGAGTTACTCAATATTATAATATTAAATGTGTGATTTTCATTTCATATTTTCATTAAATCTGGTAATAATAAAAAAAGCATGTAAGCTAAATATAGCTTAGAAAGTAAGTCAAAGCTGCAGCAGATCCGATATAATCTCGATTTTTTCACAAGAAACTGTGGCGAGAAGTTGGCAATGCCATGTTAAAAACAGTATTGAAACGGCGAGTAGTTTTAGTTTTTTTCTTGTGCGCAACCTGTTCTTTTCTGACTTTTTGCTCATGTTTGCTGTGCAGGACCTGAAGAAGAGGCGCATAGAGGAGCCGTTCTCCACAGAGAAACTGCTCTGCCAAATTGTCACATCAGAATCCAAATCAGAGAACAGAAATCTTCTGAGTGCAGCTTCCTCTCTCATTGTAGATCTCAGGTGGGTTAGAGCGCTTCATTTAATTTACTAGCCTGACATTTTTTATTTAAAAGTAGACAGTCTGGTAAGCTGAGGACATTACTAAGGTAATATACCAAGCATGACTTCATGTTTTCTGTAGCATTTAGTTGAATGTCGGAATCCAGCGTGACAATCATTAGTGTGAAGTAAAGCTGCCTTTTTGATTTCACTTGGTCAGCATGTTCACTGAAGGGCCGAAACATTATGACCACTCACAGATAAAAAAAAAATATGTTTATAATCTTGTAACTGCACATGTCAAGGTCTGGGATATATTAGACAGTAAGCGAGCAGTTGGGAAGTGATGGCAACAGGATGCACTTTGGGAAGAAGACAAGCTGACGGAGGGAGTGTGACACATAGGGCAACGTTCTGCCGGGAAACTCTGGGCCCAGATATTCATGTGAACATCAGTTTGACACGTGCCACCTACCTAAGCATTGTTGTGGACCAGGTACACCCCACAGCAATGGTATTACCCTATGGCAGTGACCTTTTTTAGCAGGAAAATGTGCCTTACCACACTGCAGACATTGTTCAGGAATGGTTTGAAGAACATGCTGAAGAGTTCAAGGTGTTGCCCTGGGTTCTGAATTCCCCGGGTCTTAATCATATCGAACATCTGTGGGATGTGCTGAAAGAAGTCCAGTCTGTAGCGGCTCCACCTCACAACTCACAGGACTTTAAGGTTCTGCTGCTTACGTCTTGGTGCTATATACCACAGGGCACCTTCAGAGACCTTGCAGAGTCCATTCCTCAACGGGTGGGAGCTGTTTTGAGGCCACAGAGAAGATGGCACATATTAGGCATAATGTTTTGCCTCATTGGTGCAGTTTTCAGACAGTTATCTCTTTCACATACAGGGACACAGAGATGAGCCAGCGGCGGCAGCTTTTTAAGGCTGGGCTCCGGCTGTCTGCCCGTTATGGCATCCAGCCGGATAACCAGTCCCCCACGGAGAGGAAGAAACCGCAGCGCACGCGGCTGACCGAGGACACGGCTGACCGACGGTGCCAGGTGTGCCAGCATCTGTGTTACCTCTCCATGGTGAGTGAGCGTTTACATACAGATTCTGCTGGCTCTCTGCGGGGAGTTCCTGTCTAATGGTAGTGCAGGGAGAGGTCAGACGACACTCCTGGAGGACCGCAGCACTGCGCACGTGAGTGTTTTCTTTGCTCTAACACACCTGACTGAACTTGTGAAGTGCATAATAATAAGCTGTTCAGCTCAGGTGTGTTAAAGCAGGGAAAACAGCGAAATGTGCAGTGCTTTGGCCTTCCAGCCTATTCTTAATATAGACAATAGCCAGGTTTCCGTCCAGCTGTTGAATTACATGTAAGCAAATATCTGAAATCTCGCAAGTTACTTGGCTGTATTACTAGGCTGTATTTCCATCAGCTCACAAGAGAATAAAACTCTTGACGTTGAAAACTTAAAAACACTTCTGAAAAATATGTCGCCCTCCACAAATATTGTTCAGCTCATCCCAGAGGTTTTCTAAGGAGTTTAGGTGAGGCGACTGGGATGGCCATGGCAAAACCTTGATTCTGTGGTCAGTCAGATCCAACCACAGCCCCATGACATCACAGCTCTACCACCACACCACCATACTTCACAGTTGGGGGAGGTACTTTTCTGCATGGCTGTCTTTGTTTACACGCCAAACTTACTTTGTCTTCGTTGCCAAAAATATTTTGGTCTCATCTGACCAGAGTACACGGTCCCACTTGAAGTTCCAGTAACATTTGGCAAACTGTAGGCAATTGAATTTGTTGGTGCTTGACAACAGAGGCTTTCTTCTGGCAACCCTCCCAAACAACTTGTGGCTGTAGGTGGCGGCTTATTGTAGTTTGGGAGACGTACTGACCCCAGAACTGATTTATGCTTCTCAACAACCTCTTTCTCATAATGATGGATGACTGAGGGAATTTGCCTGTGTGTCACCTCATATTTATACCCCAGTGAAAAAGGAAGTCATGGCAGACCATTTAAGTGTTCTTTGCCGCTCAGGTGAAATTTAGCAACATTAAATATGAATGTGAATATATTTCAGTCGCATTTAACTCATAAGCATTTCTAGGGGTGACACATATAGATTTGAGAAAAATATTTCATGATGTTTTTTACAATCTGCTTTGCTCATGTTTATTAGGGCTGCCAGTATTTGTAGAGGGCACTGTATGAAATGAGTTTACAGAGAAACCTTTTGATGTGCAGCGGCTTCTGTTTTCAGTTTTGTTTCATTTTGTGACTGTGTTTGACATCTTAAAAGCACGAAGGCAGGCCAAAACAGTGCCTTGCAAAAGTATTCAACCCCTTTAAAATTCATAGGATTTGTCTGGATTACAAACGACACTTTGATATTTTGTACTATACCATATTTTATTTGAAAAGACGGTGAATCTGAAGGAAAGCTGTGAAAATAAAGGCCATTAAGCATTCTAAGGAATTTTTAGATAAAGTTGTAGACATGCACAAGATAGGAAATACATCCTAGTGTATTGTAGTGTAAACAACAAGGCCTAATCCCATTTCTTATTTTTTACCCTTGTTTTTGAGTGTCACCTTGCCCCTTGTAACTGAGTTACAAGTTGTAGTGGTTGAAATCTTCCCTATGAAATGAGACCCTCAAATAAAAAAGAATTACTTCATTAACATTAACATTAACATTACTTCATTAACAGGCTACTAGCGGTGCTCTGTAGGCGACCCTGCCAGTCTGCAGTGATGGCAGAGGAGGGTAAAGTTCAGCAACCTCAATGCTTTGCTTTAGTTACATTTAGGGAATTATACACCTTCAATGAGGGGGGGGAGGGCAATTATTTATTATTGCCCAGCGCTAATTCTTCAGTGACATGAAATTTTCCCATTTCACCTTAAATGCTGCAGCAGTTTTCTGACGCCTTAGGCGCCAGAAGGTAACTGTTGCACCATTTAAGGTGGAACAGGAAATTTGGCTAGCTAGGTACCGAGACAGCTACCCCTCTATCTCAACAAAAATCGGGACACCCTACCCCTAGGCATGAACACGCAAAGCAGAGGGGTGGAGCCAAGTGGTAGGGGGTGAAATGGGATTGGGCCTTAGTTCAAAGGGGCAAGGTGACAGTCGAAAACAAGGGGTAGGGGTAAAAATAACAAATGGGATTGGGCCAAAGTTCAAAAGGTCATAGTAATTTTTTTTTTTGCGAGCAAAATGTGTTCACCTCAAGCGAGCGTACAAACGTAGGTTTTGGTGGTTTAATTTGCAGTTTCCATCAAGTCTTGTTTACCTGATATGCCAAAATCCACATTTTTAATATTATAAAGTATGTACAGAAACCAGAATAAAAAAGTCATTAAAGAAATACTCCAGCATTTGTGGCAGCTGAGTGAGCTGGCAAAGCTCTTTGACGTTTCCCTGTGCTTAGAGAAGAACTAAAAACCTTTTTTGTTGAATATTTACAGAATGTTGCAGAATTCTTAAAATTTATTTGTAAATTAAGCTGTAAATCTGTACAGTTTGTTCGGAGATGGGACTAATATTGCAGACACAAGAATTTATGGTTACTTCTTACAAGCATAGTGATATGGGTGAAGTTTTCACGAGTTCCTGCCTGATCACCATGGATACCAGAAAACCTTAGGGAAAGCAAAAGTAACAGGAACTACTTTTTACTGTGTTGTTCCAGTGTCTGAAAAAAAGACACTGTCTCTAGAGAATTCTGAGAAATTGGGCTGGAGTTCTGGGAGGCTTCTGCATGGAGGTAGAAGTCGGGACCCCTCTTTTGGACAGTGGTAGGACTAACAGATAAAAGTGAGCAACAGGAAGGAGATGGGGTGGTGATGGGGGTTGTGAAAATGTCACAGGAAATGGTAGAAAAGGTAGAGATGTGTGTTAGACTGGAAGGAGGAGGGGTTTCAGGCATGGTCCTGTCCCACCAATCTTTAGTTATTCTGTAACTCCATGTTGTTAGAGTATAATGGCTCTAGTTTTGAATTTGCCTTTATGGTCACAAAGGTCAAATGTTTGTTTATTGCAAATAAGGTTTTTTTGCACTGTTTACAAGTTCAAGGAAAAATGCAGACTGGCTGAGCTATTCGTAAGTCAGTTTAAACTTTGGGCCTGCCAGTGGGCCTTGACCATTTAAACAGTTAACTGAGAGTAAAGCACACATCAGGATTTTCTAGTGTACACCCATAACCAAACATTTGTTTAATGTGAAATGATCAGAGCTGCTAATTCTAGACCAAGAGAATATCAGATTGGTTTGATTTTATCTCACATTTTCAGTCTTGGCTGCTGTAGTGTGCGTTATGCAACGATTGCAGGCTGGCGTGGCATGTGGAACTGTGAATAGTGAGCTCTCGGCACCACAACAGTGCAGTCATGTTCATGAAAAAGAGCAGAAATCAAGTGTCTTTCCCATCTCAGATAGCAGAATGCAGAAAATAACACCTGCATGCCGAGGCTGAGTGTAGTATGCTATGCTATGTTAGTCAATACATAACACCACATCAGTTGTTATTAAGTGCTATCAAGTGCTCTCCGACTTAAAGCTGTCCTGTGTTCTATTTGGCTCTTCAGGCCTCTTCTTGGCTTGTTCGTAATCCTCCGATTGTCTCCATTCATGTTGTTACTGGGTGTCCTCTCCCTCTTTAACTTTCAGCTGTCCCAAAACATAACTGTTTTTCACCATGAACTGGTTCCTCTCATACTATGTCCAAAATAAGAGTGCTTTAGTGTGGTTGTCTGGGCTTCGAGTGAAAAGTGTCGCTCAAGTTGGTCAAGGATCTATTTTCTTTTCTGCAAAAGCCTTTGCTAACACTGCTGTTTCAAAAGTATTTTTCCTGTCCTGCTTTTATATTACCCAGCTTTCACATCCTGAAAGAACCACAGAAAAGACCACAGCCTGGACAGTTCTATCCTTGTCTGTAGAGACAAATCAGCATATTTAAAGGTTTTTCAAGCTCCTCCGTTCTTGCTCGGCCGAGTGTCAATCTGTATTGTATTTCTTGAGTGCTGGATCATTTGTGGTAGTAATTGATCAAAAGCAGGCAACAGCTTTACCGTCAGTGTCTGTGTTTACATGCAAACATTTTTGCCAATCCGACTGAATGCATTCCGATTATAAATTAAGAGGTGTTTACATGCTCACTCTACTCGACAATCTGATGGAAAGTCTCCGTTTACATGCTCACTACAAGTAATCAGATCCAAAATGATGTGCATGCATAGAGAACCACTAAGTGCAGACGTTACCATGACAGCGAACATCGTGTGAGGCCAGTCAGCATGAGACAAGTTTTCAGCTGGCGCACTTATGTTTTTAATTGCTTTAAAATTATTAAAAATTAGTAAAATTATTATAAAATTATTAAGCTGGACGCCCGTCCCACCGCCGCCTTTTAAAGTTCAAAACTTAAACTTCGTCTCCTCTGCAGACCAATTCCTGGTACCACCATGTTGAATGTTCTAAGCGTTCGCAATGATGAGAACGCACATGCGCAGAACGTACTTGCACGTTCTCATTGGGAATGTAATCAGATACAAGCGTCTATTATTCTTCTATTTATTGGATTATTTACAGAATTACCCACCTCGTTCAATCAGATAGAAAGTGTATTCCGAATGGCCTCAGTCGGACTAGTCTATTCTGATTGAGGTATTAGTCAGATTATTAACGGATTATTAGGCTGCATGTAAACGTGGCTAGTGGTAAGGTTTGCGCTCTTTGCTGTTGTCATAACCATCGTGTTTTTTCATATATAGCTGAAGATTTGGCTTTGCGCTCTGTTCTTTATATTTCTGCTGTGCGTGTCATATGCATATCAAAGTTTATTGATGTTTCTTCCACCAATCCTGAATCCTGGATCAACTTCCTCCAGTCCTGCTTCTGCTATTATATGTTCAGCATTCAGGATAAGCAAGTATGATGATAGTGGGCAGCCGATGTGGAACCAGTCTGTTGAGATGCTCTGGTATTCCCATTTCCTTGAGGACATTCCATAATTTCACATGGTCAGCATAGTCAAAGAAACACGTGTCGACCTCCTTCTCAAAATAAACTACATTGCAAAATACATTTAAGAACTTAAAAATGTTTTTGCTCCTACTTCTGATTACATTCTGTGATCTATTTCTGATTACATTAAAAATGTTGCACTTTCACTCTGATTGTAACCATTGCTAATACATGGTGGTGGGAAGCAAATTAGTTAGATGGACTTGTTCCCAGGGGGAGGAGGGGCAGCGTATGTAATAATTGTGGTGGGTTGAGGGCCAAAAAGACAAAACAGCTGGCTAGCAATGGACCACTCTAGTCACGTGTCATTCTGTAGCCCACATTAAGCCCATAGTAGGAACTTCAGGTCTCCTTACATATGAGGCTCACTGCCTTTAAATCCAGTGAAAAGATATTCTTCACACCAGTGGTCTCAAAATTTCCACTTGTTCATCATCTGTTGCGCTCTATTAAATTGTAACAGGTGTTTTGCTACTAAAACTAGTTAAAAATTATAATAATAAAAATAAGAAGCTAAAAAATAAAGGATAAAAAACAAATGAAAATTGTCTGTTCTCTCATTGGCTGAAAGGACCGGGTCTAACAGGGCTGTTAACATTCTACCCACCCACCTCAGTCATATTATTTGATATGCAAGAATTTAAAGGAAAGAAATATAGTCAGACTGCAGTAAAACAAACATGATAAAGAATGACACAAATGATATGAAGAAAATACTCATGGGGCCCTCTGTGGCATGGGCCCCCCCCCCAAGTCACCGCTCATACCACTTACACCACTATACCAAGAAATGGCCCTGAAGGTGAGGCAGTTTTTGTGAGGCAAATTTTAGCCCTACTTTGAGCAGCCTTGGAAAAGAAGTGTGGTGCTTTCTTTTGCTAGAATTTGAAAGTCCATAGTTGGATGCTCAGCTTTGGTCAGTGGCTCACTGTATGACATTCAGAATTCATACTGGTTCTTCTCAGATAAAGCATTTTTTTCATTCTGTCACATTATTAATCGCTGATTTGTCTTCCTACACAGGTGGTTCATGAAAGCGATAACGTGGTGTTCTGTCTGGAGTGCGCGCTGCGATACATCCAGAAGCGCAGGTCCCCTCGAGGTCTGAAGATGATGTTTCGTTACACTGAGGTAGCACTGCTGTAGCCATTCTCTCATCACTGTGTGCTTCAGTGCAGATGTATCTGAGTGTTTCTCTACCCGGTATTTAGTGAATTTAATGATCAGATTCAGAGCTATAACGTGGACTGTGAGAGTCGCTGAGGACATGTAAATAACTCCGTGCACCAGTTTTTTAACAGTCTGACGTGGAACTAAATGCTAGCTTTTCACCAGTAACAATAGCCTACAGCAACAAGCCTTTCTAAACAAGATACAGTCACTGGAAACATGTATAGCTTTGACAGCCCACCTTTAATCCCTCAAAATCCCAGCCTTATTACATACTAAGTACTATTATTAAGTAACTACAGGGGCTCTAATGCAAACTGGCTGAGCTATTCTTAGGTTCTAGAAGTGTTTAATGAAACTTGGGCCCTGTCCATTTAAGGGGTCAACTGAAGAGTAGAGCACACGTCAAGATTTTAGGCTTGGAGATTTTCTAGTGTACACCCATAACCAAACCAAACCTTCAGTCTTGGCTGCTGTAGTGTGCGCTCTGCAGTGATTGCAGGCTGGCATGGCCTTATAAGGGGTTAAGAGTTATTCAGATTCTTCTGGTGTTTCTGACAGCATTTTTGGTGCTGTTTGATCCACTGCATATCACTTTGTTTCTGTGTTTGTTGTAACAGCACGCTAATCGACAGAACCTATTAAGACTAAGGTTAAAAAAAACAGATCCCTTTTCGCCCCTGCTGTGCTACCATAACAACTAGCTAGTGTAAATCTGTTCAGCCCTAAAATTAAATTGAATTAGCCTTACTCTAAAATGTACGGCTGGCTTGAATAATTCCAGTGTGTGTATTTTTTTGTTACTGTGGTAGTTTCTCAATTTGGTATTTGGAATCTTCGTCTTTTTTTTAAGCCACCAAATTTGCAGCCTGAAATATAACGTCTTCAACCTTTTAGACTGAACAGTTATTGATGTGTGTAAAATGTTTGGGCTTGGGAGCTGGTTAGAACATAAACTGTGGACCATCTGGTGGGCCTCAAGGACCTGGTTGAAAAACACCATTGTCTCTCAAGATGCACTTTCCCTTTTCTGACTACTACCCTTTTTTATGGTTCACAGGAGCACCTGAACAGTTTGGTGAATCGGGTGTGCGGGAAAAAGTTGGAACGGACTGGGGAGAAGCGGAAAGCCATCAGCCCCAGCAAACCACCACCAGCAAAACGAAGCCCCAGAAACAAGAGCTCAACCCAGGTCTCCATGTTGCGTTCCGCCTCAAAGAACCCTTCCCGCTCTTGACCAAACTGTCAAAACCATTCCCTCCTTCCCAAACGTCTCAATTAGCATTGGCCGTCCAGTCGCCCTTCGCGCGGAATGTTCCTGCTACCTGGGTACCAACACGGTGAAGACACCAGTACGTCAGAGCAAGCGTGGCTATTACATGGCACTTTGTGTTAGGTATGCGTAGTTACTAGCCGGAGTTAGCGCAACAAACTGAATGTATGGGACTTAAAAACGTACACACACACAAATGTTGCAGCGTACTTAAGTAGCTATTCTGTAAGAACACAGTCGCTAGGGACGTCAGATTGAAGCGAGACTGGGGAGCCTGATCACGCACGGAAATCTTTTTTGCACTAGTTTTGAGATTGTTTTTGTTTTTTTGTTTCTTTTTTAGAGTATTTTTGAGTTGTTTCAGCGTTCAATCAAATATAAATATACATATACATAGATATGAATATATCCTATGCTGTACCTATCGTTTGTGTTTAACTTGGTGCTGTAGTGTCACATCTTCCATCAGCCCTTCCAGGCTTTTTTCTCTTGGGCTCACCCATGTTGGATAGGTTTGTTTATATATAGCAGATACATGTATGATCACCCCACTTTGAAAGAAATAGTCCTAATCAGGTTGGAATACTGATAGATTATATATATTATACTTTCCCCCCTTTGTAATATATGAAGGAGCATGATAATCATCATGTTCGCATTACTTGCTGGGCGATTTAAAGGCCTTTTAGCCGAACTCATTTTGAAAGCACATTCGAGGCCTTTTTCCCTCCAAATGATTTCTGAAACAACAGCTGAATTAAGCTACTCTGATTATGATATCAATAATAATGCGGTGAAGCCCAGAGCAATATTTACAGACGCAATTAGATATGCTGAAGTTGTAAAGAAGCACTTTGCCATAAATTCTCGTTCCTCTGGCTCTGCCTTCGTGATTGTCATCGGTGTTACCTAGAGTATTTTCTCCTTTACCATATAGAATATCCCCTTTAAAAGCGAAACAAAAAAATAAGAATATTCTTTTGTTTACATAGAATATTTATTATAACATCAAAATGTTTAACACTAATGTTCCCAAATATGTTTATATGCCAGTAAATTTCTTCACCTAAAATTGAGCCTTTTGAGAGAGGGCCTATAAGGGTTTGAAAGCCAAGATGAAGAAAACGCCTTACTCCCCCCTGTTGGTTTCTTCGTCTGTACAAGTTAGATGTTCACAGGGTTGCTGTTGTAACATACGGAAAAAAAATAAGTGCTGCTTAATCACTGAAAAAGTATGTAATAGTGGTGATCCCTAGTTTTTTAGCTTTACTTTTTTTATTCAAAGGGAAAAAAAAATCTTTTACCTAAAAAGTCAACCATGTAGTAGCTAGCCATAATACACTGACTGTAAGTCCTGTAGTCCAACATGGTAGTCGCCCTCTTCCAAAAAGACTGGTGTTTTAAGCATAGTAAAAATGAACAGTGTTTCCAAAAAAAATGTGGTTGTAAACTTTTTTATGGCCTTAAAATGGTTTTTGATCACTTCCCCCCCACCGTTTTCTACCGTAAACCTCTTGCTTGGCTTGCTTTTTATTTATAAGCGCTGTTTCTCAGTCCTCAATCTAGTGGAGTTGTTTTTTGGTTACTGGCTTTTTTTTACTTTTCAGGTTTGTATAATTTTGTTGTAATAAACAAATCACTGTCAATCCTTCCAAAAATGTTCCTAATATGATTCTGAATGTGCTCAACAATAAATGTACACTTTATGCACCTGTTCAGCAACGGTATTGACATGAGACGGCGCAACGCCTCAATGTAGGTGGATTTCGTGTTTTAGGATTCAGCCAAACAGATAAAGACACCATAGTAATTCATCAGCAATTAAATAACTGCCAAACGACATTAAACACTGCCAGCCAGCATTTACAAGTCCTTCCAGTGCAACATCTCGGTCTCAAGTCTGTTAGGAATAATACAAAATTTGTAAAAATAATTGCCTGAATCCTTTCTAGTCACTTGAGTTGCCATTACCTCTTTTCCCAGCAGTACATTTGGCAGTATTTAAACCCTGTAATTTCAAAGACAAATGATCTAAACCAACAGCAGTTTTATTCCACATCTGGAAAAAAAACAAACAAAAAACGTTCATTAGATTAAAGCTCCAAGTCCCCAGTGGATCCATCATCAGTCATTTAAGCGCAATTTCAACATGCTTTGAAACACGTCATTCATGCCATACATCTGCACACCTGAGCTGTTCACTGCCTATGGAGATATTAGGAATGTAATGTGTTAATAGGAAAATCTTTATTATTTGGGATATAATATGATGCTGCAGGTTTCTCCATACAATACTTTGAACTGTCATACAATGAACAGCATTACTTAAGCAAAAATCACAGTGCTAAGAAAAACAGTCTGAAAGGATTGTTCTCCAGATTGACAGCAAAGCTCTCAAAACTCAGCTTTAGGTTCAGACAAATGTACATAAGCTCCAGGCCGGTGGTAAAAACTGCACTTGCTCTGACCTCGTCGCCGTTTGATCAAGCATCGGTTACGCCAAGTCTCATCACCATGAAACTTAACCGTGTTGTTTTACTGTGAAGTTTACAAACTCTTCGGCGAATTCTAGGGGGTCTGCGTGTCGCTGTCGTCTGAGTTTTTGAGCCGCTCCTCAGCCTCAGGGAGGCCGGCAAGAGCCATGTCGGCCTGCACCTCCTCCTCGTCGGACTGCACCACTGGAGAGTCTCCTCCGCCGCTCTCCTCGCTGGCGTCCTCCTCTTCGTCTGGTCCTTCGGTCACACCGCTGAACGTGTCCGTGCAGGAGGAGGACAGGGAGGAGATGTTCTGCCGCAGCTCCGTCTGACTGGGCACCTTCAGGCTGATCTCAGCTGGTGACGATCCTGCCTCTGGAGCTGACCCACACCCAGGAGGACGGAGATAAAGCGTTATGGTATTACATGACATTTTAAAAAAGGATTAAAAAATTAATGAGTTGCCAGTTTATTTGGTACATGTAGGTGTGTAATTAATGTAATTACCAGGTGGGTGGAAAACTGGCAACTCAACATATGTATCTGGGTAAGTATGAAAGCTCTGAGTGCTGTAGGCAGGGGTGCAAAATATAGTAGTGGCCAACACATTTACCAATAAATGGGAAAAAAGTAATTATAATTCAATAATGGAATTTGAGGGTAGCAGAATTGCAGTTTGGGCAAAACACCATTTTAAAATCTGCTTCTTAATGATTATCAAACTAATGAGGTGAATGTAAGTTGTAATCTTTCAGCTGAAATCATAGTTGAGATATCTTTATGTAACACGTTAATCAAGGAATAGGAACAGTAAATGCTAGTAAATGGTCACTGTTCAGGTGAAGTGTACTCATACATGCTGAGTGTTCTATGTCTGCATGTCCCGTTAATCAGAAATCAATTTGACAACTGATGTTTCCACTGATCAGTAGAAAACTGTAAAGTAACTGAAGAAAGAATGTCAGCTTTTAGCAAAGTCAATGAAAGAAAAGTTCCTATAGCTTATTAAGTGATGCTCCAATTATTGAATATTTTCAGTTTTCACATACACTAGCAAATATTGTCTTGAATGTTTGAATATTCTATAAGAATAAGAATAGATTCACTTTCAGTTTAATAACAACGTCAAAAACCTTATTTATTGGTGAACTCATCAGTGAAGGAACAGGTTTTTAAGCTGCTCAAAACCACTTTTTACCAGAGTACATGCTAAACTAGCTTGTTAGCAATCCAGAGAAGCAGAAAGCCTATTTGGACTGCACCTGGAGTTAAAACCGAGACTCCTCGTCAGATTTTAAGTCTCACAAGCTATGGCAAATCTCCATCCCCAGTGAGAGTGGAGAGCTCACAGCTGTGTGCTACTGGTGCTAGAATCTGGATAAACACATTTCTCCACAAACTTGTGTGGGTTCATATACACGTTACTTGGTTCATATAACAATTACTTGAATGGCTTTTACGTTTGTGAATATTTTAGTTATTGAATTTATTGAATATTATTGAATATTTCTTGTAGCCCTATTATTAAGAAGAACTTGCCTAATGTCGATCTGTTATGGGGGAACATATAAATGTTTAAGTTCTTAGCAACACAGTGCAAACAATAAAATACATTTTCACACATTTATTAATGAATTTGCAAAACCAAAGCTAAAATGAAACAGGCTCAGACCTAATTATCAATATCTTACTCCTAGCAAATGCTTACAAATGACTTGTAAATAGTTTCCACATAGCTAGTTGTGTTTAAAATGATCTATATTAATGAATGTGCAAGACCAAAACTAGAGTGGAACTTACTGATTCTCAATAACCACTGCCTTTGTAAGCGCTAACAAATAATATTTCCATGTCATAAATAGTTAGGTATGCACAATAGCTCCCAGACTTAACAGCAAAGCGCAATGAAATAGCATAATTTAAGAAACACTGTTGTTATAAATTGTATTTTTAGTTACTGTAAAATTCATGTTTCGTTTTTCGAAGTTTATAAAATAAGACAAATGCAATCAAATTTACTAGCATTTACTGCCATGTTTCATCACTGTGAATTCAGATCATTTATATTATTTATAAACAAGCTTAGAAATGTGATGCAAATGTAATTTATTGGTATGAGCCACAAAATGTTAATATTGGCCAGGCTCAAGTTTTAATATTCAGAGGCTCCTGAAATGCCTTGATTATCCAGATAAGGTCTCTAAGCTTAGGGTTCAGATCAAACTCTCCAAGGTGGTAGATCACCAGGACTAGTGTTAGGCACCCCTGGCCTGGAGAATATGAGGCAGACAACATTACCAGCTACTGTTACCAGCCAGAGACTAATCCGTAGCTGTAAGGCCATCATTCAAGCTAGCAGACGTTAGCTAACATTCTCCAGGTGTGTGTGCTCATTACTACAGCAAGAAAAACACCATCTGCGGCTCTTTTAACTATTGATAAGGATAGTTTACCTGCGGTTGGGGAGATGGCGTTATCTTCCCCACCAGAATTGAGGAAGACATCCAAAGCCTCGTGGTCAGACACGTCCGTTAGATCCATCTGCTCTAACATATCTACGTTCACCTCCATAGAGGACATGCTGCCTGTTGTATCTGCCAAGAGAAGAGCACAAAGTCTGTGAGCCACTTTCAAGGACAAGTTTTCCAGAACCCCATTATGAGGCTGGCTTAGAGTAGAACTGCACTCAAGCAAACAAAGTTTCCTGTGAACAAACACTAATGAGTGAGAGAGTAAATGGTCAGTGCTGATAGTTAATAAAACCTTCACTGAATGCCTTTCCTGTGGTCAGATGGACCCAATTTTAACTGCTATTACGTCTCACAGGACTTTATAATAGTATGTATAAGTGTGCAATATGATGATATGTTATCATGACAATGATAAATTATGGCACAATAAACTTTCTGAGTATATTATGGGTATGGTTTGTCTCACAGGGCCAGATGTGATCTCGTAACAAGAAGGAAAACCATAAAAAATGTTGGCCTAAATGTGGGCAGGATCATAGACTTATTAGGGTGGGACTGATTGTTAGCAGCGCCTGATCAGTTAGTGTAACTCCAATTAAGCATGTAGATGTGCAGAGAACACATTATATGCAGGAACAATGAAGAATTACCTTTTGAAAGGACAAATCAGTTCCATTACCTAATGATAACGTTTCACTAGCTAGCTTTTGCTACTTTTGCATCTCTAATCAATTGTATTCTGGACATTAAAGACTACAGCAATATGGGGGTGATTTTTTTTACAGGGGCCTTGCTGTGGGCTACGATGGCGTTTTAGGGTCACTGTTAATAAAAATAAAAATAGTAGACTTCAAGAATAAAGTCATAATATTTCATGAAAAAAGTACAGTATGATATTTCGAGAATAAAGTCGTAATATTTCGAGAAAAAAATATTTTGAGAAAAAAAAAGTAATATTTCAGGAAAAATGTCATAATATTTTGAGAAAAAAGTCATAGAATTACGACATTAAAGTGGCAATAAATCCCAAATTTGTGGCCAAAGGTTTTGCAAAGGGAAGGCAGCACCTCCTTGTGTTAAAATGAGGGACGTGGAAGAGTTGATAAGGTTATACTTTCATATTGATTTCACCCAAAAAGAAATACTCAGTCTCCCTGTCTCTCCTGGCTCATCAGCACCAGCCTGTTATTAGTAAAAGAAACGGCTGTGCAGGAAACTGTGCTTATTTAGATGAAACAACCAGACAGACTCTGTCTCTGGAAACTGTCTGTTTTGTTGAAGGATAATCGCAAGGCAGAGTCGTCCACACAGCTATCAATGTCTACATCTCTATTCAAAGAGGGCATGAAATTTCACAGACAATGAGAATGATGATCAAAATCATCGATTCACGAAGAGACAGGAGTGAGTGGAACTCCAGTGCACTCAGTGTCTTCGCCGTCGCCAGTACAGCAACCAAGACCCCAACGTGTTATGACAGCCCCCCTACAGTTAGCCTACTTTTTCCTCAAAACATTATGACTTTTTACTCAAAATATTACGACTTTTTTTCTCAAAATATCACAACTTTTTCCCTGAAATATTACGACTTTTTTCTCGAAATATTACGACCATATTCTCAAAATATTACCACTTTTTTCGCGAAATAGTACAACTTTTTCTCGAAATACTATGCCTTTTTTCTCAAAGTCTACTTTTTTATTTTTATTAACTGTGGCCCTAAAACACAGTCATAGTGGGCTGCTTTTGCATATCATCATATTTTACCTAAAGATATCCCCAGACTTATATTCTCATTTCAAGCTCACCTCTGGCCCTTACGGTACTGTCAGTGCTTCTGACACCGAACAACTATGCAAAAACCATAAATAAGGACAATTACAGAGAGTATGTAAACATAATTAACCAATTTGTAGTAACTAAATAAACTGCATAGTATCAAATAGCTGACTGGATGAAAAATGATTTTAAAATGTTTGTTTACTAAGTGTTTGATTCCCCTCCCCCATGCCCTCTAAATTAGTTAATGTTTGCAGATACCAATTAGAAAATTCACAGTTCCTATTTTTTTGGCCTTATTTTTAATGTGCCACTAGTTCTAGCTTGTTAATAAACCTCAGAAAAATTATATATTGTACATAATGATATATATTGTGTATTATGAAAGTGCCTTTGTGTATTATGATGTAATTTTCCATAGCGCCCACCCTTAGTGGTAGGATGTTCTTATAGCACACACACCACAAAAACACAACAAACCAAACCACACACGCATGAAGCAGCAGGAGAAGGCAGTAGGCAGCATACCTCACACAGCAGCAGAGCAGGCAGCAGTGGAAGGAGAACAGAGAGAGGAGACAGTGAGTTTTGTCTGGCTCAACATCCTGATGGATCTCCATTAACTCCCACTTAACACAACATTAACAGTCTTCAATATTTATTAAGGGTGTAGCTTTTCATGTATAGTCTTTGTAGTCAGTGCCTGGAACATTTTCTTTGGTCCATAATCAGGTACCAATGTACCAGTGTTGTTAAAGTGTACAGGCTAAAGAAAAGGCTTTCTATTTCTCCATTTCCTGGAGCAGAGTTTAGAGAGTCTAATGACTGAAACAACCTGCTCTACAAATGAATGCTACGAAATGATCCTATTAAGGAAGTGAATCACTGACCTTACAACTCAATTTGACTATGATTCTTTAGGAAATGACAAAGTGCTATGAAAGCACAAATTCAAATCACGATTTTAAGTAAAATGCATTCCCTTAATAAATATGCATGACTTAAAATCATACTCAATATACAGTTGTGTGCAAAAGCTTGAACACCCCTGGGCAAATGACATGTTTTGTTGATTTTCTACAGGAAAATACACATCCTCTCCAGAGAACCACCTTAAATGTCAAATTTTTATTAATTTTTTTAATGCACAGTTTCTGTTTATTTGAGTTTAGCATATTGGAAAAAATAAAACAAAATATAAATGTGCACAGGCCACTTTATATGTTTAATTTTTTTTCAATATGGTAAATTCAGCATTGTGCATTAAATGTAATGGATGTGTTGACTTGCTGTCACTTAGAAAATCAGCAAACCATGTAATTGTGACTCAATTTTCATGAAATAAAATACATTCAAAAGTCCACAGATTTGAATCAACACCTTCAGATACATTTTCACACCTCTTTTTTTAAGATCATAATTCTGTAAAGGCTCAAAGAGTACATACGATATTCTGGAGAAACACTGTAAATATGGTTGTCAGGAGTCAAAAATGACTTGACGGCACTTAATAATAAAAACAACAGTAACAATAATAGCCCAACTAAAGTCTTAGCCTGAGACAGTGGAACAACCAAGACCTCTGCGTGAAAACCAAGATGTTTACAAGTCTGTTTTGGCTTCACAAAGCTGTTACCAAACGTGGTGCAGCAGGAATTGCTACAAAAAGTTGCAAGAACTCAGCGTGCAAATCAGAAGAGCAATCACAGCGTTTATATGTCCAGTGTCAAATAGTCTGATGTCAGCTATTACTATGTCAATTGCGCTAAGCTTAGACTTTAATAAGACCGCAACAATTGAATCATTTACTGTTTATATGCACATTAGAGGCTCAATATTAGTCTAAGACACCTGGTTTAAGATGTAACGTAAATTTGACATTATAAATTATGTACATGGATGAGTCTCACCTCTTCTGTCGGTGATCTGTAGATAGCCTGTAGAGAGGTACTGCTCCATGTCTTGCTGAAACGCCTCCTCAAAGTACTTCTGCCTTTCCTTTAGCTTTGCTTGCTGTGCGTGCTCCATCTCCAGGACCTTCTGGGCATGCTCAGAGTCCAGCTCCGCTATCATGTGGAACAGAGAGACAGAGAGACAGTCTTTATGTTTAATGCCTCACTGATCTGTCTGATCCGGAAGTCCCTAACAGACATAATCAAGTACATCTACCTCTGACCTAAAAGGAATGGTGAAAAATCTAACATGCATAATTTTCACCTCATCTAAAATGTAGCTGATCAGCCAAGACATGCTTGGTGTCTAAATTTTGGTTCTTTAGTTTTGTGCTGGAGCTACATAGCTAATGTAGCTAATACGTAATAGAACTAAAACCCTATCAATTAGCATCATCCAAACTGCACATCAGACTTGCCTCAGCCTGCAGCAAGTTGTTATAAGGCTCATATCATGAAAAAATGAAATTTTCCTCACTAAATTTTTTTAAGAGTATGTACACATTTTTTTAAGTTTTATTCACTCCCATTCATTATTTTTGTGATGTCATGAAAACCAATGCATTCACTTTTATCTGCTTATAGAGTCTAGAGTAGTTTAGCCCCACCAATTCACATTGATACTACACTGTATGACCAAAAATATGTGAACACCCTGACTAATTATTGAGCTCAGGTGTTTCAGCCACTCCCATTGCAAACAAGTATATAAAATCAATGGCTTAGCCATGCAATCTTCTCATATAAACACTGGCGGTAGAATAAGTCACACTAAAGAGATAAGTGACTTTTCTGCCCTGGTCAAATGTAAGTGCTATTATTTTAAAATAAAGGCACCTCGGAGCAACGATAGCTCAGCAGAACTGCTTCTGGAAGCAACATTAGTACAAGAAATGTGTCGAGAGCTTCATGAAAGCTTCAAGCCTAAGATCACTGTTTACAATGCCAAACTTTGGCTAGAGTGGTGTGAAGCACGTCTGGCATCAGGCATTCTGATTGATCTGGGTTTGGTGGATGTCAGGAGAACACTACCGGAATGCACAGTGACAGCAGTAAAGTTTGGTGGAGGAGGGATAATGGTCTGGGGGTGTTTTTCAGAATTTCAGCTCAGCCCTTTAGTTCCAGTGAAGGGTGATGTTAATGCTACAGCATACAAAGTGTTGCATACAAATATTTTTGACAATAATACACTTTGTCAACAGTATGGGGAAGGCCCTTTCCTGTTTTAGCATGACTGTGCCCCTGTGCAGCAAGCAAGGTCCATAAAGACATGGTTTGACGAGTTTGGTGTGGAGGAACACCAGTGGCCTACTACTTAGTAACACTACCTAAAGTTTTGGAAAATGGTCATGCAAAAATGAATGATTGTTTTTGCTACATAAAAGCACATAAACATTATAAACAAAAATGAAATCATGTTTTTTCATGATAATAACAAACGAACAGTTTGAGGCAAGTGATAGTTTGAGGCATGTGATAATTCAGGCCGGCAGTTAGCACAATGCTAACTGATGAGCTAAATGTTTCTGTTGCTTATTAGCTACATTAGCCTTGGAGCTTCAGTGCAAAACTAAAGAAGCAAACGTCAGACACTAAATACGTCTTTGCTGATTGGCTACATTTGCATTAAGGGCGATGAATTGCGCAAATGAGATTTTTTTGCTGAGCTAAACATCACATATCACTAGCTACGCACGTCACAAAGTCTGTTATTTGCTGTCGCATCATCCTTTACTAAATGAAATGCCAACCCTGCTGTCACACTCATTGTCCTGAGTGTTCCTGTCTTTCTCCCACGCCATCTACCCATCTGCTTCTTCCTGCATGGCCCACAGCTCGCAGCGCATGCAGGCACAACAAGAAACTGTGTGCAGAAAGCCAACGGAAAAAAGTGTGTCTCTTCACACATCATTTCAAACGTGTCTACATACCCCACAGCGCAGTGAAGCTACTTCCTTCAGCAGAAGGGAGCTGAGATGATCACAGGCTCTTCGCTGAGTGTAAATGAGCGAACATGTGAGGGAATGTGTGTAGTATACTCTATACACTGCGCTTCTTTATCTTCTTTATCTCTGACAGGAAGAGCACCCACTTCACTTAACTGCAGGAAGCGTGTCTTTAGTGTTAAAGCGGCTTCGCTTCTATTCTGCGTGCACGTACTCTGTGCGTCTCGTTAGAAGCAGAACTCCTACAACAGCCTGTGGAGAGGATGCAGAGATGTGCGACATGCGCTGCATTAAAATGGTGCATTCAATGAGTGTGTTCTGCTGCTGAGTGCATGCTTTAAATATATTAAAATATTAATGTAAAGAAACATACAGTACTGTGCAAATGTTAGAGACCACCCTTCTTTTATTTAATTACCAGTTATTCAGGACTTGTATCTAAGAAAATTAAGACAATCCACTTGCATAAAGAATAGGCAAGTCAAAGGAAAGTAAGTGAAAAAACAGGAGTTTCCAAAAGTTTAAAAGATTATTAAAGGATACAGAAGAAATGGGACTCCTAACAACCATGCAAGACCTGGCTGACGACAAAAACTGCCCCCATCAGATAAACCGTACTTGAAGCTTTCATCTTCAACTCAACACTATTTGTCTAAAAGGATGTGTAGCTGTCAAGAAGCCCTCACTGAGAAAAAGGAAATAGACAAAAAAGAAGAACATGTGCAGATTGGACAAAGAAGCTGCTGGTGTTCTCAGAAAAATGGACTGACCACCGCAGAGTAGGGCTGGGCAATATGACAATGTTTTTTATTGTTGTAATAAATTACTTTACAACATGCTTCTCTGAGCAAATCGTGGGTATCGTGAGTTCTTACAAATCTTCATTTAGTGTAGCGCTGTCTTTTTGGATACAAATCATTGGATCCATAGTTTTTGTTCGCATTTTTTAAATACGGCACTACTGCTTGTTCCAACCTATCAGGTGTCTGAAAAAATAAATATGTATATGTATCATGTAAAATTCCTGCAGTATTGTGATACTGTGCCATACTGCCCTGCTCTACGCCTCTTGCATTACCTTGATTATGAAAAGGAGGAAATGCAACCAACTTCTAAGACTGAACTGTGGAAAAAAAACCCTGCAGATTTCTTTGAAAAACTGAAAGCAAATGTGCTATTGTATTTAGTTGTTGAGTGTTTTGCGTAATTTTCTGTTAAATATGTTTTCTGTTTTTTTTTCCTGTTGCTGAAACATTAATAATTTGCAGAATGTCTATTCTGACTGGAAATTAAATGAATGAAGGGTGGTCTCTGACTTTGGCACAGTACTGTTCATCTTATAAGCAGTATTAGAGGGAGATTAGAGACACATTTTGTTTACTGGTAGCATGTTCCACTATGACAGTCACAACCAGAACACAGGGTTAGACTATGGACCCTGACTGATACGGACCATTCTATCGAATTAGTTCTAAGCCTTTATTCTGCATGCACGTACTTAGAGCATCTCATTAGAAGCAGCTTGTTGAATTTTAATCTCCTTGAAATCAGAGAAATCTGTGAAAATTTTCTCATAATCGGTGGTACTCTATTAGCCTTTACACATTGCCATTTCACAGTTAAAAAAACTATTTAAAACAACAATTAAGTGTACAGACCTCTGATATTTACAAGGATTGTGGATATGATCTATTTACACCTGAGACATTCATTGAGATGGTAATAAGCTAAACATATACAAACCATCATTTACTGGGTACTTTCTGTTGAAAATTGGCTATCCCAAACCCTAAGCCCTAAATTTCAGCTTGTGAATATAATACTTACACATTACAATACTTTCAGAGATCTTTTTGATTTCTTCTAAAGTGAAGCTGAAAAATGTAGATGTATCAGTTCGGTTTAGTTAACTTTATTAAATAAAATATGCTATCATCTGTATTCATGTTACTAGAGAAACACAAAGAGTTTTTGTCCATAGGCAGAGCCTAATTTTAGCCACACCCCTTTATTTTAGAGCAGGATGTGAGACTGCATCCCTGTCCCTCAAGGCCATATGAGAAGTGAGAAGTTAGATCCCATTGGTTTAAAGTAAATGTGTCCCAAAGTCAGTGAATTGTCACTGAATGTCATGAAATTGTCACAAATTGCCCTGTCTCAACTTTTTTGGAATGTATTGCAGCAATTTCAAATATTTACAAACAACAATAAAGTTAATAAGGCAAAGCATTTTTCTTTGCAAGATCTTTGCAAGATTGCAAAGTAAATTTAGTTTAAATTTAGTTCAAAATTGACCTCTTTTTTGTGCATTTTTCAGATTTGGAAACTTTTTTGGAATTGGGTTCGTACATGTTATGTTGCACTACTCATATGTTAATTATGAAGTATGTTAATTATGAATAGTTCTTAGTAGATAAGCTGCTAAATTAGCAACCTCCACAGGTGCAAAGGGTCAGCAGACTATCAGTAATTAGTGCCTCTGTTAGCAAATCTGGGCCTATGAGTGCTACAATATTTATATTTAAGACTCTCATCAAGAGCTTCTGTCATATTTTATAATTCTGTCATATCGGTTTAGAGATACACTGATGTGGGAATTGTGGGCTGATGCAGGTATACAACCTTCCAGAGTACATTAAATACATAATCAAATATCGGTTTAAAATATTGGTCAAATCTGTCCAAAGCAATTATCCGCCAATATCAATATGATTCCATAAGATTCATCAGGCTTCTTTTATATCAGTCAGTAAAGCAATGTTTAACCAAGAGTGACAATTTAAGTTTTGACCATGTAAAATTATTAGCCAATATTAGCAGTCTGTTCAAATTTTACCTCCTTAAAATCAGTGAAATCAGTGAAAAATGCCAATTCGTCTTCCTGTAATCTGACAACTTTGCCAAAGAAGTTGACTGGGTCCCAAAAATGGATCATCCTGTCATTGCCTACAGTTGCCAAGCGAATGACATACCTCAGCTCTGTCCTCCTTTGTGTAGCATGTAGACTAGAGAAACTTGCACAGAACGGCAGAATAAGGCCAGTTTACTCCTCTATCAAGACACATCCACACCTACAACTATGCAAAGCATATTTTCTTAACATTGCGTTTGGCAGCAGTTTCTCAGCCTGCCTGCTTGGATAATCTGCTCTGGTCTGCCTGTCAAGGT